GAGGAAGGAGAGGAGGGGAGGAGGAGGAGGGGTAGAGGAGGAGGAGGAGGAGGAGGAGGAGAAGGAGGAGGAGGAGAAGGAGAAGGAGGAGGAGAAAGAGGAGGAAGAGGGAAGGAGGAGGAATGATGTTTGGGGAGGAGAGTCGCCAAGACGATGAGTGGAGTAGGGAGAGGAGGAGTGGTGCGAGGAAGAGGATGGGAGAAAGAGGAGGAGTAAGAGGAGGAAGAGGGAAGGAGGAGGAATGATGTTAGGGGGAGGAGAGGAGGTACCAAGACGATGAGTGGAGTAGGGAGAGGAGGAGTGGCGCGAGGAAGAGGATGGGAGAAAGAGGAGGAGGAAGGAGAGGAGGGGAGGAGGAGGAATGATGTTTGGGGAGGAGAGTCGCCAAGACGATGAGTGGAGTAGGGAGAGGAGGAGTGGTGCGAGGAAGAGGATGGGAGAAAGAGGAGGAGTAAGAGGAGGAAGAGGGAAGGAGGAGGAATGATGTTAGGGGGAGGAGAGGAGGTACCAAGACGATGAGTGGAGTAGGGAGAGGAGGAGTGGCGCGAGGAAGAGGATGGGAGAAAGAGGAGGAGAAAGAGGAGGAAGAGGGAAGGAGGAGGAATGATGTTGGGGGGGGGGAGGAGAGGAGGCGCCAAGACGATGAGTGGAGTAGGGAGAGGAGGAGTGGTGCAAGGAAGAGGATGGGAGAAAGAGGAGGAGTAAGAGGAGGAAGAGGGAAGGAGGATGAATGATGTTGGGGGAGGAAAGTCGCCAAGACGAGGAGTGGAGTAGGGAGAGGAGGAGTGGCGCGAGGAAGAGGATGGGAGAAAGAGGAGGAGTAAGAGGAGGAAGAGGGAGAGGGAGGAGGAATGATGTTAGGGGGAGGAGAGGAGGCACCAAGACGATGAGTGGAGTAGGGAGAGGAGGAGTGGCGCGAGGAAGAGGATGGGAGAAAGAGGAGGAGGAAGGAGAGGAGGGGAGGAGGAGGAGGGGTAGAGGAGGAGGAGGAGGAGGAGGACGATGAGTGGAGTAGGAGGAGGAGGAGGAGGAGGAGGAGGAGGAGGAGGAGGAGGAGGAGGAGTGGAGTATTGGGGAGGAGGCGCCAAGACGATGAGTGGAGTAGGGAGAGAAGGGATGGCTCGAGGAAGAGGATGGGAGAAAGAGGAAGAGGGAGAGGAGGAAGAGGGAAGGAGAATGATGTTGGGGGGGGGGGGGGAAGGAGGAAACAGAGGAGGGGGGGGGGGGGTGAGGAGCAAATGAGGAGGAGTCAGGAAGGAGTCAGAGGATTATATCAATGATGTGCAAAATACAGTACAATACACCCTATGCGTACCCGCAATAAGAACTATTTTTATTTGAAACATTAAAAACAAAATCACACAGACTTTTGAAAGATCAACCTGATAATAGCATTCCTTGTCCGTTAACTATCAAAATGTGCGAACTTTACAATGGCATATTTATGTAGCCCGAACTTTATCTATGTACTACACAATATAATATTGAAAGTGACTTTGTTGGTTTTGTCAAAAGCTCCGCGATCGCGAGTAGAAAAGGGGTTGAATCCGCGATAGCAAATGATTTACCTAGGAAGTTAGTTTCGGAAGGGGGGGGGGGGGGGGGGGGGGGAGGTATTTTTCAGGTAAAGACAGTTATTTAGTGATTTTATGAGATCCTTTTTGTTGAAACCAAAACTTTGTTTACAGCCAGTAATTAAGATAATGAGTTCAGTTTCGAAACAAAAAACGCTTGGAAATATACTGTTTATAGCTAAATTTATTCTACAAAAAGCGTCCCTGATCTTTTCCAGAATATCAGTTATCTTTTTATCAGGCGTATTATGACTTCTTCTTGTTTATATTTTGCCAAAATATTCCATTGCTCATCCAGCTTCAAAATACACCCCGAGAACTCTTTGTCAATTATCCACTGCTCAAAAGGGTATTATTTCTGAAATCTATATCCCGCCTTTTTCTAAAATTACTATGTAGTCTGGTCACCGTACAAATGTTGATTATTTGCCTACGGGATGTAATCTTCTTTCCACCACGCTATCTCTTTCTTTTAAATCTCTGTTCCTCTCTCTCTCTCAGCTCTCTCTCTTTCTTCTAAATCTCTGTTCCTCTCTCTCTCTCTCTTTTCGCTGTTTTGTTCTCTTTTGATCTCCTTCTTTACCCCCCCTCTATCTATCTAGTCAACTTTCTCTCTCTCTCTCTCTCTCTCTCTACCTCTTTCTCTCTCTCTCTGTCTATCCCTTTTCTGCCTCGGCTTTCTAATTATCAATCTTTTTACGCTCCCCCTTCATCCTGTCTGACTGACTCTCTCTCTCTCTCTCTCTCTCTCCCCCCTCTCTCTCTCTCCCTCTCTCTCTCTCTCTCTCTCTCTCCATCTCTCTCTCTCTCTCTCTTCCTATCTCTTCATCTCTCCTTTTAATGTCCTCTCATAGCCTTTCCCTCTCTTCTATCTTTTTCTTCCTCTCTTTCCACTTTTTGAAAAGTCAAACTTATCTGTTTCAAGCCATCGGCTTTCCTAACCAATGATGATGCTACTTTATTTGAACTTCATCCGGTTCTAACGCCGGTATAATTTCGTTGTTTTCCATCTTTCTTGTTCTTTTATAATATTCAACTATATCTTCAGATTAGATCATGTTTACTTGGAGCAATTAATCTCTCTCTCTCTCTAAGTGCCATATCGTTTGACGTTGGCAATCATGCTGTTCCACAACCCTCGGTTCCTAGCCTTCTGTACTATTAGTACCACTCCCAGTTCTTTCACTCCTCTCTCTTCCAACAATTTCTGCAGAATGTCCATCCAAAGTATTTTCCTTCTTCCCCTACTCCTTCTTCCCACAATTTTCCCTGTCAAAGCAAAAGCAATTAATATCCATACAAAAACACAAGCACAACATTATTTTTAGTAATGTGCTATTATTAACACGGTCGTGAAGACCTTCAAATATCGACATTGGCTCAGAGTAGAGTATAAAGACTATACCAACTGGGCAATTTCAAAAGCCTTTTGCGTCACCTTTTGAAATCCGTCACCTTTTGACAATGAGATTATACGTTAATTTAAACTTTTTTTTTTAAATACACATCTAATCAAATAAATAGCGTAGGTTACTAAAATTGATTGATTTCTTGATTTGAAATTCATCAACTTTTGACAATGAGATTACTCAAAACGTTAATCAAAACATAATTTGTTTTGGGTTATATATTTCTTTTAAGCAAACAAATAGCATTGATTTCTTGAAAGTTTTTGCAATTGAATTTATAATAATTTAGTACGTCATTATGTAGAATTGGTTAAAGATGTTGATAAATGAACGACGAGGAGGAAGAGATGGTCATGATAATACTGATGACAATAAATAATGATGACTACGTTGATCACGCTTCCAAAAGAATGTTAATTATCGGCAGACACTTTGTTACAAGCCAACAGCTAATAATTTTAAAATACAACCCATTTATTTTTTGGCATTTTTCATTTTCCCCGGCATTTTCCTGTTAGATAAGTTTAATCGTCTAAGATCTACGGTGTTGTGACATGCGCCCTCTCGTGATTTCTGATGAGATTGATTCTTGCCTTTTAGATATCAAGGAGCTTTTCTTCTTGGTGATATATTTATTTATACAAAAAAAAACACACGATAGAGACAATTAAGTTTTATATTGACTGGACTTTTTATCTTGTTATCGAATTGAATTTGACTGAATTAACATAAATATTTTCTTATAGTAAGTCCAAAAAAAAAGGGAGAAAAAAAAAGAAAATAAAGAAAAACAACGTTTCTACATATTAATGAAATATCAAATAATATTAAATTATCAGTATAAAAAAAGACATTGTATTCATCGGTTTTACTCATTTAAAAATTCTTCCCTATACATTATCATCCTTTAAAAATCTTTTTTCTCCTTCTCTTTCTCATATATCTCTCTCTAATCCCTCTCTTTCTCTCTCTCTCTCTCTCTCTCTCTCTCTCTCTCTCTCTCTCTCTATCTGCTATCATGTAATGTCGGTTTCCCGTTTGCCAATCTCCTCCGCCCCCAATTACTCGCTATACAAAACCATTATAGTTCATGAGAGACATGCTGGATATCAGTCTAGCGCTCTCTTTAGTTTACGACGTGTCAGGTGAGAAAAACTTGAATATTATTGAGACTTGAGTGTCTGTACACAGTTGACCCAAGGTACCGCTATTATCTTACAAGACCATTATTAAGGTTGAAAATATCCCAATAACCATTTTGGAAAATTCATAAACGAAAAATTCACAATTAGGCAAAGCCATAAAGCTTAGCTTCTGAGGTTTTAATAAGACTGTTATCTTCAGTTTTCGATGAGTTTTCTGACTTGTACAGTATGCCTTCTTTTTTCATAGTCGTATAGGCTATATATATATATATATATATATATATATATATATATATATATATATATTATATTGTGGAGCAATTCATTTTTTGTTGTTTGGAATCGTTCGAACAGCATTCCACGTGATACCAAGCCATTGGAATTAAATTTGCAAATTTCTGTAGTAATTAAGAAACGGAAAAGACTGGTTTACTTTTCAACCTGTTATGTCTATACTTGAATTTGAGCTTCAGGGAATCAATTTTTCATACATTGAATTTTCAACTGATGTTCTAAGTTTTGGTAGTTCAACATTGTTTCAGCCTCATGGCTGCTGGCCGCTGTTTTAATTTTTTTCTTCTTTTGAATCAATTAAGTATACATAGATCTATTCATTTCAAATCAATAACCCGTGCAGCAGCAGAGTTATCGTTTTTTTTTTTTTTAGATTTCCGATTATTTTTCTGATCATGATTTCATCAATTTCTCTTCATTGGTTGGCAAGTTGAACAAGTACCGGTACTTGTAACAAAGCATAATTTCACTATACTACAAGTATACAAATGATAACAACAAAACAGCTGGATTCTTATTTCCGCGCGCGCAGATAAACGAATGCATACATATTTATGTCCTAGCTCTAATCGCGCGCGCTCAATTACCTTTTATCTCCGAGTGCGACGAACATCGTTTCGTTTTGGAAGTCATTCTCAATATTCTGTTCATGGATAGCCTCACCGAATAAATACCTTTGATCGGTGTTCTTGTACCCCTAATAAGTGAAGATGAGGTTTTCGGAACATCTCTCTGCCCATATTACCCCGGAATGGCAGAAACAATACATCCGTTATGAGGTGAGATTGCGTCGATTTCATTCATTTTGTTTATTACAGTCCCACCTGAAGGGAATTCTGTAGTTGTCCTGCAGGTGTGAATTGTCTTATCTCCGACATCTAACTTCATGTGACTCAATCACTTCAAGTTTAAAGATTGTCACCTCTCATCAAATAACACCGAACATTTATACAAACGAAGATGTCAAGTCATGCACCTTGTATTTTTGGCAAGTCTTGAAATTATAATGAAATTATTGATTACGATTGAGGAAAGTCAAGACAAAGCCGAAATGAAATTTTGAATTATTTTTTTATTGTTTTGATTTGATTTGATTATTTTAGCCTTAAAATTTAAGGGCAAAATGATAATATGAAATATGATATTGATATAACCTACTATGACCTAATCTCACTTAGATCTAGATCTACTATGTCTATGAGTATGAGTAGACCTAGCCTCAGTAGTTATTTGGCACCCATATAGCTGCGTGCATGCAGGGCGTTCGCTAAATTCAGTGAACTGCGTGTGTACACCTCGGTAGTAGTAGACTAGTACACTAAACTAAATTACTAATCGCTATTATCGTAAAGTCAGCATCAAATTGGCAACATGTTAACATGTACTGTACTGTAATTGTGTTGTGGCCAGCTAACTGACCACTGCGATCTCTTGCCAGAGATCAGGGTTATTCTAATATGAATGTAAGCTCATTATTTAATATCAGGAACACAACAGAAGGTGGAAAGTGGAACTTGGAAGCAAAAACAGGAGATTAAATGCAAAACAAGAAAAGTCAAAGAAGGAAATAGAATTGAAAAGTAGGACAACACTACTACCGGTATGCACACAAGACATGATCAAACTCTTGCAGTTTTTTTTCTTACAAAGAGGATTTTTCTGTACAATTCACATTAATAGATCATATTTCAAATCTGAAAAATATGATGTGAAGTTGATACACTCGAGCCTGTAAAATTTGTGCCAAATATTCTTTATTTAAAGGAGAATCCATCAATAATAAATAGCAGACTGCTCTAAAAGAAAGCAGAAAATGGGAGAAACAGACTGGGGAAAGTTTGAACAAAGTTAGACAATATTAGAAAGTTATGAATTTTCTAATCACTTCATGTATACAGTATGTACATGTGTGAGAAATTCAAATTGGCCGCATCGTAATATCACTGTGATGAAGTGTACATGTAGTGCTGGACAACTTTCCAACTTGTTCCAATACACAAAATGACACAAATGTCATTTTAGAAAAATATATGTAATGTACATGTACATGAATGACATGGGAGGGTTTTCTTTTTTCTTTTAAGGGGACTTTTAATATTATCCTGTCCATAATGCAGTTGAGTATTGCCCCAAGGCTAGGGAGAAGGCACTTACATGTATAAGAGAGAAAAAAAATAGACAGTAATGATATTTGTATGCATAAGATATGGGAGGGTTGTCTATTACTACATGTACATCACAATCCACTGACCAAATTGACAATTTGAGATTTACATACATGTACACTGTAGACTTGATTACATAGTTCAAACATTCATAATTCTCTTTTTATTGGTCAAATTTGATTCAAACTCACCATTCTGCTCGTCTCATTGTTTTGCTTTCCTAAAAATGAACTTACTACAAGAGTTGGATCGTCCTTCAAAATAGTCTTCCTATCTGGTAATCATAATGACACCAAAAAGAGTTTGTATTAAAACAAAAGAGTGTTGAATAAACTTTGAAATGACACAAATTACAACTTCAAACCCAAATGGCACTGAATGTTCAATGCAACTTTCCATTTCAACAGAAATTAAAGGTTTACAATTTTTTTCAAATACATGTTAAAGATAATAAAAACCAGAAATAATAACAGAGCTACAGTGTACAATATTAGTATTGTAGCAAAAAAAACAAACTAGCAATCAATTTAAATGGCAAATCAATTGCGTCATATTTTCTTTTGGAGCAATACAAAAAGGAAACAGAAATGCTCTTTTACTGAAAACATAAATAACAATAAAATCCTGGGACTACACAGACATAATTATTATGGCATTGAAATTGGTCCAAAGTTGTATGCTATGTGATGTTCTTCAACAAAGATAAATGATAAACCCTGAAAAAAAAATTACTTTTCAAATCAGGACTTGATGTTCTATTGAATCTGATGGAGTGACCCAAAACCTGCAGCTAAAAAAACTTCATTGTTACTCCAACATTGTATGATTTGTATGCTTGTTTTGTGTTTGTGCAGTGATACTATACTATTATTTCAACAAAGATAAATGATAAATGATAAACCTGGTGACAAAAAAAGATTGCAATTTACTTTTCACCTGCACCAGAACTCAATGTTCTTCTGAACCTTCATGGAGTGACCCAAAGCCTGCAGCTAAAAAAAGGTTCATTGTTACTCCAACATTGTATGCATGTTTTGTGTTGGTCCAGTGATGAGCTACTGTACCAGTAATTATTCAGGTCAGCTCATAGACGTGTTTGAGCCTTGTAATTTGCATACAATATCACAGCTCCTTCAGATGAGTTGTTTACATGGACCTCTTCTCAATCTGCAGCTGTACTTCTGTGCAGAAAATTAAGTTCTGTCAAAGATTACAAATTTAAAGATGACTGCAAAAGTGCAAATACTTAATGTTTTGACTGGAGCTACATTATACAGTGTATTATATTGTACCGAACAGGCTAATATTTGTGCAGACTGTACACACAATGTATATATAAATCTGTCAATATTTTGTTGTTGTTGAAATACATGTTTTGACAAAAAAAGAAAATAAAGTTCTGTCAAAGATTACAAATATGCAGACTACTGCAAATACTGTATTTTTAGACTGGAGCTACAATGTAAAAAAATATAATGTTTCACCCGGCAGACTGATATTTGAACAGAGACATTAACCCATATTTGCCACTTTCCACCCAGGCATATATGTGTACAATGAACATACTTTTTTTTTTTGTATTCTGTACCTGGCAATTGATTGGGGGTAATAATATTAAAGTACAGGGCCCTCAGGAAGAACAGCATTGAAGCTTCCTGGTTAAACAAAAAATATTGTTGTGTCTGAATCTAATTACTTTCCAAGTTATACCATGTTCAGTTCATAGCTGTCAGCTGTGCATGTACAAAACTTATCTCTGTACATACCAATAGGCTTAAAGCGGTAATGACTGATGTGATATGACAAATTAGGACTTTGGCTTTGGACCAACCAACCAGATGGAAATTTACCGCAGTACAACATACATTGTAGATAAGTCATCCCTGTTGTTTAGCTGGCTCAGTTACAAGTGTGTGACATTCGCGACAAGAAAATTCTTCTTCGCGACCATGTGTTAATGCCCCCTGATTGGAATCCAAAATTTTTTACCTAAAGCCTTGTCCAGACAGGACACGGTTTATTATAAGTGGGCTAACAGTAAACTGTTTACAATGTAACCAAACTTGCTGCAGCTAAACAAAAACAAATTTTGTTGTGTTATGGAATTCTCGCTACCCTAAATAGGTACGAAAATCTCGAAATTCGCGAGACGAGGTAATTTTCACTCTCTCGGGTCGTCACTACAACTTCCGGTATAGAGTCCCATCCCGCTGGCGCTAGCGCCTGTGTTCGCTGTGCAGAGTTTTCACGCACGCTAAAATCGATGCCAATCAGTGTAATTTGTACAGATTATAATATGCAATGGAAAGCTTCGGGCAGAATTAGTGACTTTAGCACAAAAGGCCGTTAAACTCTACCGTGAAAGAGAGGGTTGTGATCACGAACGCCTGCACAGGAAGCTGTAATGTCGAAAAGCTATCCCATAATGCAATGCGCGTTTTCAGGATTTTCCCCGGATCTCGGCAGAATCGCTATTTGGGGTAGCGAGAATTGCAGAGTAGGTGAAAAAAGGTATCTGTGAGAAAAAAGTACTCCTATCATGTAGGATTAACAAATGTGAAGCATGTAACACCTACCGGTACATGTACCTAGCAATTGTAATTGTTATTTTTTGATTTTGGTTAGCAGATGATAAATACAGTATGAAAGGGGTTGGGGGTTTTCAAATTGATTATGTTCATGCAGTGTAGACACAACTGATTTCAAGTTTTGTTTCCAGTTTGTACAATTACAATGTAGAACTGACAGCAACTGTTACATGTATGTTCTGTGTAGAAACAACTACCGTAACATGTTTTACAGGCTGTATAATAAGTTTAATGCTGCTTGCTCATTGTTTCTGCGCTGTGTGAACCTGCACATTTAGCCATGCAAGCATATTATTAAAACAATTTAATTTCATCATTCAGCTGTGGTGGTTCTATTGACACTGTTTACAGTAGTGAGGTTCACATGACATGCAAGTAACTTTAAGTTTAGATCATGGTTTTAAACTCCAAAGTTATCTTACAACTCTAGTAGGACAGTGTGGAGTCACCCTTAACCCAAAGCTTAAAACCACAACAGATGCCTGCGAGCAGCAGGGGTTCTCACTGGAAGTTATTTAATAAACTTTGAAGTTATTTAATAAACTTTGAAGTTACACACAGCTTATAGTTTTAATTGAATGCTTTCCCTGGCTTCAAGTTAGCTACAGGTATGAATACTGGTACTGATTTGGTCCTATGAGATCCCTTGTCATTTTCAGTGGATCGTTGTGTACTGTATTACTGTGAGGTTTGACAAACTTAAAGTTTAAAACTATTACGCTCTCGTGTGAACATGGCTATAAATTCATGTCGCATTCTTCAGATCCTAACAGCTCACAGTTAGGTCAAGCAATTAACAAGCATTTCATCTTGCTAAATCATTACTGGTCAGTGGTAAGCATGAATGACATGACTTTCTTCAGCTGACAAAATATCAGCTGTGTTCCCATCCTCTACCCGACTCCCCCATCCCCCTCCTAGTCTGCCTGTACAGACTCCATTTTGGGGGCACTTTAATATAATTCCATAAAGCCTTGAGCGAAGCCCAACTTTGTTGCCCGGGCTGTGTCAACCAAGTCAGGAGTAGATACATGTAGATGTACATGTTCACATACCAGGCCTGATAATTTCCCGATTTAAATTGGTTTCACCATTTTTTCCAGATTTTATTTTTTCCCCCCAATTTCTTTTTTTTCCTTCCCGATTTTACCCCTATTTTCCAGATTTTACCCTTTTTTTCCTCCAGATTTCCCCCTTATTTCCCCTTATTTCCCTAGTTTTCCCTATGTTCTCTATTTTTCCAAATTTTCTTACTCAAAGGGGGGGGGGGGGGGGGGGGGGGGGAAATGTTAGATGCCATCCCCCCCCCCCCCATTTTTTAAATATTTGTTTTACTCAATTGGGGGTTGTTGAGAAAAAAAACACCACCCTATTTTATTTAGTGCTCACTATCACCACTGATATACATTGTTAATGTAGATGTTTTACAGAGAATGCAGTCTACTGTGCAGTCTGCATAGTCTTGTAGTTCAGACTCTGTGTTGTATGCGTTTATAACAACAACTGACAAGGGTCTTTGCCTGCAGACTAACCCCATCCCTTGCCTTTTTCATTCATTATAAATAATAGGCAGTCAGGCACTCTCGACACATGTTCAAACTGTATTGTTGGCCTCATGCAGGCCTGCATCTTCATTTGTTTACATCGGTTTGTTACCCTTGCCCTTTCTGCCTTGCCTCATTTGCCATTCTGTATCAACATAATGTGGGCCAGTAGCCTACATATATAATGTAAATACATTGTGCGTAGCCCTTCTTTTAGTAAAAACAAGATATGAGTTTTTAAAAATTGAAAAGAGTCAACCCCCCCCCCCCTATTGAAAGAAAAAAATGAATGAAAATGAATGTGCTCAAAATTAATACAGCTAATGACGTAACCTGTACATGTACAATGTACATGTACACATGCAGGATTTCTTTTTGTGACAGAAATTTATATTGCGTTTCATACCTTGTAACCGACAGCCCATGGGCATGAGACCGATATGTAGGCCTTCTGGCTAGACGTTCTGGCAAACTTTTTTCTGCGGGCTCACAATCAAGACTGACATTGCCTGTCTAGTGGACTGTCTATCCTTAGTTCTTGTTGTCACATATATTTTAGTCTTATGATTAAAATGCAAATTGCTTTGGTAATGTTTACATGTGATTTGCGGAGGTTACATGTGTTTCCAGAGCTCATTTTGTATTAATAAAACAAATACATTCTTGCTCTCTCTCTATGTTCATTAACGATTCATTTATGTATTTTATTTATACATATTTTTGGATCTGTTAGATTTACAGTTGAACCTTTTTATGATGAATGAAGAAAAAAAATAACAGCATTCATCATTCCTTAGTTCAGTCTCTCTGTCTCTCTACACCCCCCCCCACTCTACTCTCAACTATTGATAATGTCAATACTTCCAGGAGAGAGTTTGACTCTCTTCCTGACTTCAATTTACATCTAACCAGTGACAGCTAAAAAGAAGTGGTTACTCCAATATTTGTCGGGCGTGACTGACTGGTCAGGCGTCGTAGAAACGCAAGGTGGAACGATGCATGCAGATCACATGAACCACACCTACCTGCGCTGCTGCTCTACATGTACATTTGTAGCTCAGCCTCATTCCAGATCAAGTCCAATATTGATTCTGAGGGATTACCGGGGAGCTTTAGAAGAATATGTTGGAAAGAGATTTTGTTTGTGTCCAGTTTTTACTATACAAGTCCAATTTATGTAGGTTCTTTCTAAATTCTGAAGCCAGAATTGATTTGTATTTTCTTACTGTAAAAAAAAAAAAGGAAAAATGAATGAATGATGAATCAAATAAATAATGAAATAAATAAATCAATAAATAAATTGATGAATGAAGTAAATACCGGTAAGTAAGTAAACAAACAAACCGACAAAAAATAAATACATATATGATGTATGTTTGGTTTGGTTTCATATTGACAACAATTTTCACATCATATTCACTTCTATCTTGCTGCTTGCATTTAAGGCTCTACATAACTTGTCCCCTGGCTATGTATCTGCTCTCATCAGTGTACGTCAGCTACGACCAGGACTACGCTGTGCGGGACTCGTTCTTCAAGTGCCCAGTACCCGTCTAAAAACATACGGGGATAGAGCCTTCTCTTCATCTGCTCCGCATCTTTGGAACTCTCTACCTGTCCAACTTCGAAATTGTAACAACATTGATACCTTTAAATCTGAACTCAAAACCTATCTTTTCCGGCAACATTGCGAATAATATGTGACATATTGAGGGAGCCAGGCGCCTTTGAATGCTTTTGCAGATAAATGGCGCTATACAAATGCTGTTCATCATCATCATCTTCATCATCATCATCATCATTCTATAATTTATTGATTTCTTTCTTTCTTTGTCTTTCCAAACAGGAACTCAAGAACATGCTGTACGATGCTCAGAGAGCAGCCCCAGAAGCAGATGGTAAGTTTCTAGCCTGGACAGACCATAAGAATAATGATAAAAATAGCGATAATGATAATTATTCCCAAATACTTCCCCTTATTTATAGCACATCATTGTTTTATGTCATACCTCAACAATTTAAATACATGTACCAATAAGCCATCCTCAATGACTTTATCATACCGTTGGGGAGTGATTTTTTGCTTTTGCAATGACAATGGGTTAACCCACACTAGTACAGAGTCTTCTTTTAGTTATTTTCATTTCATTATCTCTTGATCTAGAATGCTAAGAATTACAATTTATAAATGTACAAGAGCAGAAAGCAAAAAGTGATGGAAAATTTTTAGTCTGCATGTATTTCCAATGCAGTACGTTTGGCTCGAAGAGAATTTAGAAAATATGAAAACTCATAAAGCGAGTCCAAGGTAACCTGCTGAATGATAAGCTCAAAGATAACTTGGCATGAAGCTCATCGGTTATGAACATGAAATTCACTCCAAAAATGTACATGTGCATGCGTAAGGTATCCCTGAACAATATCAGGAAATTTGGCAGTTCCTCCCCAGGAAATGACAAAGGTGATTCGTAATTTGTCTCTAGGGAGAGGTGAGGGGGAGAAAAATAAAATGTAATGGTGGGATAAGAGAGAGGGGAGGGGGAAAGTTGTCATACAGGTGTACAGTGTAATATGTATTCTGGGTTGCCAATGAGTAAAGATTTTAATATTTAACAAGACTTCAACAAGGCTTCTTACAAAGCACACAATTAAAGATCTAGTTTCTTTGTCTTTTCTATTATATTTAGTTTATAAATTCATTTTGTTTACCAAAATTTGATTTTCAACAATTTGAGTACTTTATTGATGTTACAATAAAATTGGCTGTCTTTTACATTTTTTAAAATTAATAACCCAATGAGTCAGGATGATAAAGATATATGACTGAATGCCAGATATCTGTTTAACTGATGGAAGCCATTTGAATTGTAACATCAAATTGCTCTCGATATGACCATTCAAATATATATTCCCATTTGTCATCTTTATTATCGTCAATAATCATCGTCATCATCATTACCATCATCATCATCACCATCATCATCATCATCTCCATCATCATCACCATCATCATCATCATCATCATCATCATCACCATCATCATCATCATCATTACCATCATCATCACCATCATCATCATCATCATTACCATCATCATCACCACCATCATCATCATCATTACCATCATCATCATCACCATCATCATCATCATTACCATCATCATCATCATTACCACCACCATCATCATTACCACCACCATCACCATCATCATTATCACCACCACTTCCATCATCATCATTATGATCATCATCGTCATAATTATCATCATTACCATCATCATCATCATTACCACCACCATCACCATCATCATTATCACCACCACTTCCATCATCATTATGATCATCATCATTGTCATAATCATCATCATCATCATCATCATCATCATTACCATCATCATCATCATTACCACCACCACTTCCATCATCATTATGATCATCATCATCGTCATAATCATCATCATCATCATTACCATCATCATCATCATTACCACAACCATCACCATCATCATTATCACCACCACTTCCATCATCATTATGATCATCATCATAATAATAATAATAATAATAATAACAACAAGGCTTCATACAAAGCACACAATTAAAGACCTAGTTTCTTTGTCTTTTCTATTATATTTAGTTTATAAATTCATTTTGTTTACCAAAATTTGATTTTCAACAATTTGAGTACTTTATTGATGTTACAATAAAATTGGCTGTCTTTTACATTTTTTAAAATTAATAACCCAATGAGTCAGGATGATAAAGATATATGACTGAATTCCAGATATCTACCTGTATTTAACCAATAGAAGCCTTTTGAATTGTATCATTGAATTGCTCTCAATATGACCATTCAAATATATATTCCCATTTGTCATCTTTATTATTGTCAATAATCATCGTCATCATCATTACCATCATCATCATCACCATCATCATCATCATCATTACCATCATCATCATCATCATCATTACCATCATCATCATCATCATCATCATCATCATTACCATCATCATCATCATCATCATCATCATAATCATCATCATCATCATTACCATCATCATCATCATCATCATTACCATCATCATCATCATCATCATCATCTTATCATCATCATCACCATCACTACCATCATCAACATCATCATCATCATCACCATCATCATCATCATCATCATCATCATCATCATCATCATCATCATCATCATCATCTTATCTTCATCATCACCATCACTACCAACATCATCATTGTCACCACCATTCCCATAATTATCATCTTCATTATCATCATCTCATCATCAGCATCATAATCATCTCATCATCAGCATCATAATCATCATCATCATCTTATCTTCATCATCACCATCACTACCATCATCATTACCATCATCATCATTACCACCACCACTACCATCATCATCATCATCTTCATCGTTGTCGTCATCATCATCATCATCATCAACATCATCATCATCACCATCATCATCATCATCATCATCATCATCATCATCATCATCATCATCATCATCATCATCATCTTATCTTCGCCATCACCATCATCATCATCTTCATCATAATCCTCATTGTATTTCCTGAATGTATTTGCTAAATGTTTGAGTCATCTTTCATACAAACATAAGTTATTAGTACAATGAAAATAATAAAATAAATGAATAACTATATTTTCATTACTCTTTAAAAAAAGTAATTCTACTATTCATATTGCTCATAGAAGACTTTGCTGTAGTTGAAAGTGACACCACTTTATCAATGACATGTAATGTATGGAGATGCTGGTTTGTAGAGGAGTCCAAAAGAAATATCAACTCATAATATAATTTTTAATGTTGTTTTTATATTTTTTCCTTAGTTTCTGGGGAGGCTCAGGTGGATCGGCACTATGTCCAATTTGCAGAGAAATTCTTCCAGTTCTGTGACAAGGAGCTCTCCAAAATCAATACTTTCTTCTCAGGTGAGGATGAAAATGGCTTCAACTCCAAAAAACAATCTTTACACTTTGAAAATATGCTCATGCCATTGACTTCCTTCAGATTTTATTCTTCTCCTACATAAACATCTACATGCACGGTCCTATCATAAATCTTATACTGTCATTGCCCTATAATGAGCATGTGTTATGATATTTCCCATTGTCCTCTGTATATACCCACTTGTACATGTTAAACTCTTTAAAATTTTCATTTCATTTCATTTTATTTCATTCGTCATATAAAAAACATACATGATCAGGGTGCTACAAGAATTTTTTTCACCACTTGCCCTGTCGGGCAAGTGAGTTTTCAATTTACTTGCCCAAACAATATTTCCACTTGCCCAAAACTTTTTGCTTACTAGCACAATCGAGAAAAAACAGCTGATCAACGCACGTGTGTGTCTGTGCAAGCCGCTGTCATTTGGAAACGTAGGCTAATTTTCAGCTGTTAATAATTTGGGTCAACTCTTCCATCAAGAAACGTCATGTAAATAATGGGTAATCAACTATTTTAAATAAAGTACGGACATTTTTATTTCATCATTCACTGCTATAAATATCATGCCAAAATTTGTAAATTCTTACTAAATAATAATATTGAAGATATTTTACGATAAATCTCGGATAAGTATGCGAAAACTAGACTAAACAACGTCGCTAAAACCATGAAAACAAAACAACAACGGCTTATATTCTGGGGGTCTCGATACTATTATCAAAATGACTCGCTCGGTCGGATCTTGAGACCGCAGTAATAAATTGAAAACGAGACAAAAACATTCATCTGATTTATATGAGCAGCGAGTTTTAAATAATATGTTCACAATCATTAACAGTCATTATGAATAAATATCAAACATTTGACTTTTTGTACTTACTAGAAAATCCCTGTTGTTTATTCCATTCCGATTCGCACGTGTTCATTTCCCTAGAATAATGACGTCATATTTGGCGTGATTCAACCAATCGGCAATCAGAGAATAGCAAAGGCCTGTCGGTGCGGCCTGCAGAGCTAGAGAGAGAGAGCGCGAATAAGCTCGCAGCTGGTACGATCGCGCTAGCTGTCTCTAGCTAGCTCACGGCCGGCCGTGCGTGGAGGCGGAGCGGCATTCATGGCTTGAAGTGTCACTGTTGCATGCGCGCTGAGCTAGCTGAGCTGGCTAGCTGTCTGTGAAGTTTTTTCGAAATCGGAACGAACGCTTTTTTGCTTCTGGATTTTGACGACGGGTAAGAAGTTGACGGGTGAATGGTAGAGTTCTTGGACACTAGGAAATTACTGTAAAAGTATCACTTGCCCGAATCGGGCAAGTGATAATTTGATTTACTTGCCCGACGGCTCAATTTGGTTGCCCCGGGACGTCGGGCAAGCGGGTTTGTCGCGCCCTGATGATTATAACATTGATATTTACAGATAAGTAAAGAACATACAAATAACATAACAAAAGACAAACATAAAATACAAATATATATACGAATGAGGAACCAGCAAGAAAGAACAATTAAGTCTTGTGTGGGGCTGGTCCCATATACATGTACCTGTTTAAATATCAGTCCAAAATATTATTGGAAGCAGTGTTTTACGAGCAGTGACATGTACAAACATGAAGTAACATGGCATGGCATGGGATTTAAATAGTATCACATCATTGTTAATTTGTTATAATACAAACGTACATGTATACACGTACATGTACCGTATTTGCCGGCGTAAAGGCCGCAGTATTTTTGGAAGAGAAAATATCAAAAATTCGGGGTGCGGCCTTTACGGTGAAACAGAAAAAAAAAAAGTCAAAACCAGCACGTTGCATTGTTGACATGAAGACGAAAATAAACTTCCAAAAACAACATCTGCCGATAGATTTTGATCTAAGTTCGTGCCAATGCATTGCAAAAGTAAAAGAAGGGCCCGTTTAGCGAAGCATCCAGCACGCGAAGTCGCCATTTTCAATCCATTTCAATGACTACATCACAGAAAACAGCAGTGTATGGTATCAGCGCGGGATGGCCGCGCGGTTTAAGGTGGTGATTTTAGTCACATCAACATTTGTACGCAAGAGATCGAATCACGACTTCGGCAAAAGATTTTTTTCTTTTTCTTCTTCTTTCTTTTTTTTTAAATGTCAAAATCGGGGGTGCGGCCTATACGGCGATGCGGCCTTATCGCCGGCAAATACGGTACATTTTAGCTTTAATACATGTATTCATGTACTGTATGTACTGTACAAATGGACAAATAAAGTGTGTAACTTTTGTTTTTCTGTTTGGGTCAAGATTTAAAAATATGATTTGTTGACATCTAGGAAATATAAGAGTACTTTGAAGTATTGTTGAAAAGGATAGACCAATAAATTAAACTAACATTTTGATTGGAGATGGATGAGGGTACAGAATTTATAGTTATGCCCTTCTCATCACCTTAATTACCAAATTTTCTTTGGTATCAGGATGGACTTCCCCTTTAATACATACATGTACATGTATACATGTAATTCACTTGCATTTTAGCTTGCACCAAATTTGTATTAACTTTTTAAACAGTAATGTAAATATAACCACAAAAGGAACCGAGAACGCATCTCATAATACACGTAGGGAAATTCATGAAGCTTGTTTGTAACCATGGTAACTAACTTAATTGTGGTAACAAAATAACTGGTTAAATTACTTTAGGCGCTGTGTCTCTAAGCACATGTTATTAGCACTCTGAGGATGTCTGTAATTTGATCAATCTTGGAGAATTTGGAAGGAATGCATTTTTCAAAGTTCAAAGGGGAGGGAGCTGGAAGATTAATTAATTTATTGAATTAGGAAATGCCAAAAGTATATTAATGCCTGCAAACAACTACATGTCTACATGTACATGTACACTGAAGCAAAACATGTAGGCAAAAGTCAAACACTCCAACATTGTGAGATTCTGATTGAGATGATAAGAGACCCAAAATCACATGACCTCCACCTTCAATTTGGTGTGGTGGGAATTAAAATGTGGTACGTTGTGTGGGATATTGATATTTCAATCTCACTATTGTTCTAGATAACGCCCACATGACAACAGGATGAGGCCACTTTTTAATATCACACAAAACTGAAAATCAGCTTTATAAATTTGTATATTAAAAACATAATTAACAGTGATATTGCTCAGTTAAAATTAATAATAGGGCTTTAATATTAAAGGTTAGCGTATACAGTTATCAACTACATTATTCAAAGCCTACACCCAACACTGTGTCGGGGGGGGGGGGGGGATGGGGTTGAAAGTGAGCTTTCCAATTGATTCATAATCCCCATAACGTGAGAGTAATACTAATCGCTTCATTTTTAAAAATTAAATGTAATGTTAATTGTTATAGTATACATGTAATTGTGTGAAGTGGGGGTACCCCAAAAGAGTCCTATCTCGCACCCCGGGGCAACGTGTCTGACACGGCCGGTTGTACAGTAGCAACTACTCCGAAGATCAAGATACTAATCTTGATCTAAGGAGGTACGAACGAACGAACGAGTGTGTAAAAATAGATTCGTCCAAATTTATGTTTCTTGATAATGTGACATACTGAAGCTTACATTGTACATCTAAAATTATTCAACAAAGGCCCTAATTCAACCAGTCCACTTTTCATCCTTGAGTTGCGAAAAACAAAACAAAATCAAATTTTCAAGGGAAAGGAATTATTTAGTTATTGACTGTAGTGTGCATGTAAGTCATGAGAGGCCAATAACCTTTGTCCCCTGTTTGATCAAGTGCTTCTGTCAGTTAACATCTCAAACAGAATGGAAGGAAATAAATAAGTAATTGCAAACGATCAATAGACAGTTAATATCACTTCAAGATCCTTACAGTGTGGGTATCCTGTTCACACCTGTTTGATAGCCTGTTCACACCTTGGGGATTCAGTATTAAAACTCGTATCAAGAAACATTTGATAAAGAATCATCGTAAAGGGGAAAAGGCTGTACACACACAAAAAAAGGAATGTATAAGAAACGCCATTTAAAGAAAAAGTTTTGAAGAGGTCAGCTGTACGTACATAAATATGTGTAGAGTCAGATTAGGTTGCAAGTGGCCAATTGTGCAAATTTTCATTTGAAACGATACCCAACCCTGCTTTTCGCCATATGACGTTCATTATATAAAATGTAGAAGAAATAATTATTTCATACAACTATACAATGAGTTTTATTCGTCTGAAAGAAGCCTCTTTACAGAGAGGAAGGTAGGAAGTGCAAGTAAATAACTTTCAGGGTACAAAAATGTTAAATTGAGAGTTTCCTCTTTTTGTCTTCACCGGCTACATGTTTGTATTTCCTTTCGGGGTGAAATTTACATGTCCATCACATGTAGAGAGACTGCATCAGGTATGCACAGTTATGTATTAAAAGCTCTTCATAGCTTTGCTTTAATTTCAGTCACACCAACCAACCGTATCGAAACCAACCAATTTTAGGCCATTCGGGTTAATGTAATCTTTGGTTAGGTCTTTTCGGTCCGACTGAGGTATAGATAAAGAGATGTTTAAAACAAGAAAAAGTAAAGACAGGAGAGAGTAACAAGTACAAAGAAAAAGAGAGAGAAAAAAAAGGGAAATTATGCTAATGAAAGGGAAGAGAAAGGGACAGTCGAAAAAAATGAAGTACATGTACAGGAAAGAGAGGGTTATTTTGTACAGCTGAAGAAGGAGAATATTTTTTGTTTTGTTTCCAGGTTTCAAAAATGGTTCTACACATTTAAATCCAATAGTGTTTAAGAGTATGCGTAATTACATTTTAAATCAGATAACTATGCAGCTTTCCTACAATGTACAGTTTAATTCCAACTTTCTAGATCTGTTTAATACTCCTTTAATGCGAAGAATGGTTCTTGATGGACTTAGTTTATGGTGCTGATTAAATCAGATAACTCACATTGTATCACTCCAAAGGTTGAACTCTTCGAAGGCTATTGGGTCACTATTTGTAGGGAAGTTGTAATCTTATAGAAGTGATTACTTCCGAAGGTAAATGGCAGTATATAGGTCAAAAGAGTTCAATCTTGAAACTGGCATTGTCTTTCCTAGGCCTTCTCTCATAAAAAAAACAACATACATGCAGCTTGTCTGTGTTCAAACTACCAAAAATTCAATGTATTATTATTAGCTATACAATTTTTGCCTACACAATGTAGCTATACATGTATGTACATGTATATGACAGGTAATTACCTTTTTTCAAGTCCGAATGTATAAAGAAAGGGACTGAAACGTATAACAAAATGCATTTTGGAGCATTGTTTAAAAAACTAAATTGACAATGATAATTCTTTATTATGTATGTCTATTCTTATAGGGTACTTGTTTTGTATAAATTTCCTATACGCTCAACAGGGTTTTAATGGCCTTTTCCTATATTATGGTTTTGGAAAGTATCAACAATTCTTGAACCAAAACTTATAATCATTGTAAACAAAACAACGGAACAAAGTCACACATTTCCTGTCAGTATAAATGCAGCTGGAAATGTATTTACTGCCTCCAGTGCTTCTGTTCCATGGAGCTACTGTATTGACCAGTTAATTCTTAAGTGAAGTAACCTCATATCCTTTTGTTACCATTGTTCCAAACATTTGTTGTTCATCTATTTCTACTTCAGGAAAGAGCTGGTTCCATTGTGTTTGGATTATACATAAGTTGACATGTACATGTATACCTGTATACTTAACTTTGACTAGCCAGGGAAACAAAATTGGGGGGCTACTTTTCAAGCTTGCTTGCATGAAAATAACACTCTTTAATTTGTTTTGCATTGAACTCTATGCAAATTTTTGAGGCTCTCTTATGACTTTTGGGGGCTCTTTTTAGCATATTGGGGGCTACTTCGCCCAGAGCCCCCGTGTATATTTTTCACTGTGACTAACTACATATACATGTACAGGAACCATTTACACTTGCTGCATATAATTTAAATGTTACGATTCTGTCTTGTTTATTTGAAAATCATGGAGGAACTACTATTGAGTGAAAAATATGCAAATTAAAATATCTTTCACCAGCAATTTGGCTAGCAATATGGCCACAAGTGCACAAACTGAAACAAACAACATCAATACATGCTGTCACTATTTGAGAAATAGTTGTACATGTATGACACTTTTTCTGAATCTTTGTATGATAATTGCTCTATCAATTTTCTACACAAACCAAATTCTAGCCTTCAACCCTGGTCCCAACACTATACCCTAGCCCTAAAGCTAACCTAAACCTGATTACAATTCTAACCCTGTACATTTGACAAGATATAAAGCCTGGAGCAACTGTAACATCACTTTGAGAAACACAGGTATTCCTTGATCATTTCCACCACAGCCAGCACTCTCTATAGTCTATACAGTGAAACCTGTCCATATAGACCACCCAAGGGAGACAAGAAAAGTGGTCTTTATAGGCAGGTGGTCTTTATGTACAGGTTCCTTTAGTTCATGTTTCAATGAGAAACCATTTTCGAGGGAAATGTGGTCTTTCTATACAGGTGGTCACTAAAGCAGGTGTATTTTCATTTTAATTTACAGAGAAAGCAGCCGAGGCGTCCCGCAACTTTGCCCAGCTATGCGACGAGCTACGCCAGGTGGACAGCAAGCCCAGTGCAAAGGACCTCAGAAAGAACTCCCTCCGGCGACGGAGCTCGTTCTTCATCCCCGAACCCCTGGATAGTGAAACCAGGGTCATTAAATCCCATAAGCGTAAGATAGCAGATCTGAAGCTGGCTTTCACAGAGTTCTATCTTAGCCTCATCCTCCTGCAAAACTACCAGGTTAGAATTATAAAAAAAAACCCATTTGATGTTATACTCAGGTCGCACCATCCGCCAGGGCATCGTTTCACAAAATCGTTGTACATGTAAGTACAAGTTCACTATAAACATCCCTTTAAAAAGGTAACACACATATCAATCTGATGTCGGTGAACTTGTACTCATGATAGATTTTTGAAACGCTGCCCATGCTCCCCATGGTTTTGAAGGCTTGAAATATACATGTATGTATTAAACGTGATGATAACACAGCAGATTTGTTTTCAAGTAGCCTTTTTTTGTATGACTGACCTTTATTAGAAGTTGGCAACCACACAAACAAACAAACAAACACACAATTTTGTCATACTTCGTAGTGTGTGCTCATTATGTCGGTGAATAACATGTATGACCTACTGCACATGGAAACTGACTATCATCTCCTTTTAAACTATTTGCTGTTGATCAACACCCATGATTTGAGATTGGATATGTGATCTGTATTTAGCAGCATGGAACTTTGTGAATTTGAATTTGAATCAATTGTGAAATTTTCAAACAATTCATGGACACAGCAGTTTCTGGTTTTACAATAAATGTACACTGTATAAATGCTTTTTTGTTTTGTTGGAACAGCGGGCTTGACAGCTTAACAGTCAAACCTGCTTTTAACAGCAACCACCTGTATAAAACATTTTTGTTTTCCTTGAAAATCGTGTCTGTCCTTATTAAAGGAACCTGTTCGTAATGACCACCTGAAAAAGAGCACTCCTCTTGCCTCCCCTGAAACCATTATAAAAACCACTCAAGGGAGACATGAAAAGTGGTGTCGAGTTTGAGCATGTGGTGTTTGTGTACAGGTCCTTTTAAGACATGTTTCAACAGGAAACAATTTTTTTAAAGGGAAACAAAAAAATCTTTAATACAGACAGGTGATCTTTCTATACAGATGGTTGCTACAGCAGGTTTCACTGTAAAGAGGCTCCACTTTATTACAACCCACCATCGATCTTTACCTCTTTTTCTTTTCCTCATTCCAGTCGCTCAACTTCACAGGTTTCCGCAAGATCCTCAAGAAACATGACAAGATGCTGCAGACCAGGAGCGGGGAGGACTTCCACCTCAACCGGGTGCAGCAATCGCCGTTCCACACCGCCAAACAAATCAACAACATCATCTATGAAACAGAGGTATAAAGTTATAAACAAAACCTTTTTTAATCGAAGAAACCCTCGTTGATCGAAGAAACCCTTTTTAGAATCATTTAATCATACAAGTGCAAAGTTGATACTGCGTTTGCCCCCGAAAGCTAGTGGATTTGAGGTTTTTTAAGGCCCAGATGTGGCGCATTTTTAACACCTTTTTGTTCCTTAAAACATCAATCATAATTTCATATTGATGTGAAATAATTAGTACAATTCCTAGCTAAAATCTACACTGGAAGTTAATTTATATGTAGTTATTTTGGTGAAATAAACACGGAAAATGTCAAAATCAAATAAACAAAATGACTTGCTTGCATTTTGAGCTCAACTTCGACTGCGACTTTTTGATTTTGCTGAGTTTTTAAATTTTAAAATATAATTTTTTAATTTTTCTTTTTTCAATTTTTCAATTTAATTTTAATTTATTTTTTGGAACAGCCGTGCGCCACCCTGACTGACCGCAAGCGACTCAAGTGGCGCGCGCGCGCACCGCCAGTTGAGAAGTCCTGATTTAAAGCATTCAAGATTTAAAATTACCTAACACTCCCATGACCTTGGGAGCGGTTCACAAAGACTAAGATCAAGTTTTACTTGACTATGGCAGGCCATTCATGCCACTGTTTGCTCTCACCATTATGATCTTTAGATAATATTTTTTCCTTCAAGAATGAATTATCAAAAAATTTAAAAGGCCTGTGCTCATGATTTGTACGCCCCTTGGTAGACCAATGCCAGTAAATTGTGAGAGCAAACAGTGGTATGAATGGCCTGCCATATTTAAGTCTAATTTATTAAAAGTCAACCTTAGTCTTTGTGAAACACCATTCTGGTCTGTTCAAGGATTGATGCTGGTTTTGACTTTAAAAACTTCTTTGGAAACATTGATATGTATAATAGTTTACTAATGTTCTATTGAGATCTGTAGAAAAAAACAAGACTAACAATTTGTGCATGGATTTGTCCTAGTCACATAAAATGTTTTCCTTCATTTTTGCCAGACATTGTACATCAATGAACTTGAAGCAGGCAACAGACAAAGGGCTATGAGCAAACTAAGAGTGCCGCCACTTGGAGCAAAGGTAAAGAGTTTATTATGTAAAGAAAAGACAAAAAGTATACATTTAGGTGTTTCTCGCTTGTGAAATGTACCAATCACCTGATTTTTTGTTTGTTTTTGGTATGGGTAGAAGGTTTAAAATCAACCTGAATTTGTTAAAACCTGGCATTCAAGAGTTAATTGGCTATGTTTAAAGGAGTATGAAGAAACTCCAGGACAATATAAAACCTCATGCATGGAATCCAAGTCCAACTTGGATTCTGTGCATGCCTTATTATGCAAGCACGTATAACCGTTCCTTGACTAGTCTACGCAACAAGTCATTTTTGTGTTTACCGCTAGTATTTACTGCAATTTCTCTTCGGAGAAGCAATATTTGACGCTATTCATGTACACGTAGTTTCAATTATTTTGTTTTTTCTTGCAGAGCATCAATTGGACGACTTTCCGAGTGGGTCTCTTCCTTGGTATCTTTACTGTCCTTTGCTTTGTTGCTGCTGTAGCTGGCAAGTACAAAATTATGACAGATGAATTCTCAGTGAGGATTCAAATAATTGTTGTTGCCTTTCAGGCCTTGTTATTGAGAGTAAAGTAGCTAGCATGTCTATCATCTGCATTCATGTTAAAAAAATAGAATAGTGACAACGTAAATCATAAAACTAAAATGTTGGTGATTATAATCTTAATAATGAGCAAGGTGGTCGCGGCACTAATGTCCTTTGGCAATACATTAATCTACATTTGTTACACTCGACCCAGGTGAGGTAAATGGGTACCTGGCATGAATTAATTCCTTGAAATACTAGAGCGCCGTAATGGCAGCTAGGCTAAAGCCGGGGTAATAATTTTTGCGCCATGAAATAGAATTGTGTCTAGATAGACGATGCTATATGAATGCCTATTATTATTAGTAATTGCAGTAATTTCAGGTGTGATCTCGTGAACAATAATGACTGAAGAATTATCATATATTATAATATGATTCAAATATGATTTTGTTGTCTGTCAGGCCTCCTCATCGAGAGTAAAGTAGACAACATGCCGGCAGTGAGGATGTATCGGGGGATGTTCCTTATCATCCTCATGATCTTCTGTCTTGGTCTCAACACCTACGGCTGGAGGAAAGTTGGCGTCAACCACGTCCTCATCTTCGAGCTGGACCCTCGCAATAATCTCTCACATGAGCAGCTCCTTGAGGTAAAAATAATAATTATATGACATTTCTAAAGCGCATTTTAATTAGGTGCAAAGCGCATAAAAAAGAAATACAATGTACTTACAAACAAGCAAAGAGAGAGAGAACATTATCTTACAAAGCTTACATTAAATACAAACAGAGAAGAATATTACAACAAATTAGAAAAGATGTGTTTTCAGGCACCTCTTGAAAGCTGAATAAAGAGACACCTACAAAAAGCTTAATAGAAAATAGATCAATGTACTTTTTGTAACCCTGTGTTTTAATACATGAATTATCCCCACTTGCAGCTATTCCTATGCTGGTCCCTTGTTTCCCTTGGTCGCCCTTTAAAGGCAGGTTTGACTGTATTCAACAGAGGTGTACTTTTACAATGTTTAAAAAATGTGCGCTTCATGTTTACCTTCTTCAAGAAACTGTCAGAAAAAATATTTGTATTTCATTAATTAGCATGTGCATTAATCTGTCATGCCATTAATACAAACACAATTAAAAAACTTAATTTATGATTATTTAGTTAGCGTTTTTTAATGGATATGGTATCTCCCAGGGGGCAAAGATCAGAAATGGTGCTACGTGTACATACAGCTGAGAACCTGATTCACACATAAGAGAGATAACCACCTCACAAAAAGGTTGATGCCACAACATTGAATATAAAGACATCACATACAGCATCATGCCCTACACACTTCACACAGATATTATAAAGTGAGCGCTCGTTCAGATGTGATGCTGCAAAACCGTGGCATCTGATTTTCTTTCTTTCTTTTTTTCTGTCTTACTTTCCTTCTTTCTTTCTGTCTTTCTTTCTTTCTTTCATTCTTTCCTTTTTTCCTTTTTCCTTTGTTTTTCAAGGTAGTTTACCATGGCATGTGAAAACGAGGCATACATGTCATAATGATATGAGTCACAACATTTAAGCAAATACACCATGATTTGTTGCAACTTGATTTACAAAATAATACATTTATTGAAATTTTGGCTAGGGATCTTTATTACATGTACTTAATACATACATAAGTTACTACTTTAAATGATATTTACTAATACTCCATGAAAGTTAACAATTTGTATGTAGTACTTTGTGTCAACATATGCAAAGAAAACTAAAAATACTGTAGTTTGTGGGGTATATCAAGAGTAACATGTGCCTTTTCGTATATATATTATTTACTGTCAAGTTATGATGAATGATAAGATTAAGTAAAGAGATAGGATTAATTCGATGATTAATCAGACTCTGATCGTTAAAGAAATGTCACGAAACCGATAAGATTAGCATGGTAGCTGTCAATCATATTTTGTATGTCAACAAGGCAGGTCGTTCACCTGACTAGTTATTGTTCTTTTTATGAAGCACAAATAATTTAATAAATGTTATCTGCTAATCGTAGATTTGATTGTTACTGTGTTTGCACAGCGATATATGTTTGGGAGGGTTTGGAATAAGGTGGAAACTTGGGATGATCTTTGTATCTTGTTGCTATCTGTTAAAAAGTAGTATTAAATGTACAGTCTAATAAAAAAGAAAAAATATTCCTCTTCTTTAAAGAATCTTGCATTAAACTACAACATTTTTTGACAAATGAAAAACAAAACATAAACATACTGACAAAATTTCAAACTGAAGGATTAATCTTTTGTATGAAATATTATTGAAAAGAGTAATTTGCTTGATATCAGTTTGGTTGTATTTAAAACAAATTGTACATTCCATAGTAAATGCAAATGCTAAATTTGAAAACAAGAAAATTATTTGCAGAATTAGTAATAACAAAGGATATTTAGGGTCTATGTAGTGCTCAATACACTTTACAGAAATATCATTACACTGTAGGCACATTCTTTACTCCCTGGGGAGCATTACAGCCAGGTGCCAGATGCACTCAATGCTGAGCACACTACAATGGCTTTCACATCCTCCTGGGTTCCATCTGTGTGGAGAGTGGCAAATGTGGATGAATGATAAGCAAATAATTACCGTTGGTGAGGGTGATGGGACAAACTATCACTTCCGAGGCGATCTGGATGTACATGTAGCTATCTATCCAAAGCGAAGCTGAGGAAAGATAGCGTATACATTCTGATCGACAAGGAAGTGATAGTTTGCCATCGCCTGAAACCAAAAGGTGATTATTTGCTTTATATTCCACATCTAAAAAAATTTAACTACAAAAAGAAAAGGACGTGTATGCATCTACATAAACGACACCTAGGCCCAAATTCACACCAAAAAAAGTTTAAGTTTAACCCAACCCCTTGAGGGTACGGTGCGTGCATGTGTTTTCTTTAATTGCGCTCATAGGTAATGCGCGCTTAATTACGCCTGTTTTAGTGCGCTTTTTGATAATCTTCAGTGAAAGTACGTTGCACTGTGTAGATAGTACCTCTATCTTCAGTGAAAGTGCATTGCACTGTGTAGATAGTATTACTATCTACACAGTGTAACAAACTTTTTGCTTCTCCCATCAATAATGGGCGAACTATCTTTCATCACGTGATTTACTTTTGACCAATCGTAGAGCAAGATTCTTAGTATGTGGAATATAATAATACATATCTGGATGTATATAGCACTTAATACGATATATTGTTTCTTTATGCTTTGCTATTATTACCCCGGTCATCGGATTCAATTCGGATCTCCATTCCCTTGGGAGGGCATATATGGCAATTACAAACTCAAAGGCTTTTTGTCACCCTTACAGGTCTCCGTTTCCCCCCTGAGTATGGAGTGGCAAATGTAGATTAATGCCTTGCCAAAAGACAGGATCAAACCCAAGGCCTTTGCATTCCAATTCAAGTGCTTTTACCAATTAATATTGTGTCAAAATATGTTAGGCTTTGCTGTCCTCGGCAAAGAATGAGATGCATCTACTGGTAAGATAAAAATCGCTTTCGATAACCAGAGTTCAAAACTAACGTTCAGTCCGTCTCCTTTGAATTTTGTCTTCTTTAGGTTGCCCTTCTATTCATGGTGTTTTGGATCATAAGCATCCTGGCATACATCTGTTGCGGCATGACGAACATCCCTCCGTACATCAACCCCCTCATCCTGGCAGGGTCGATGCTACTCTTTCTTATCAATCCCACCAGGACGCTCAACTACCGGGCGCGATTCTGGCTCCTTAGAATTCTAGTGAGTATTGCCAGTTTTCAACCACTTTTGTCAACTGCTTCAGTATAGCCCCTTCCCCTCCTCTTCTCCCTCCTTTTCTCCCCTCGTCTTCCCCCCTCATCTTCCCCTCCTTTTCCCCTTATTTTCCCCCCTCCTTCCCCCTCCTCTTTTCCCTCCTATTTCCCCTCCTCTTCCCCCTCCTCTTCCCCTCCTCTTCCCCCTCCTCTTCCCTTTCCTCTTCCCCCTCCTCTCCCCCTTCTCTTTCCCTCCTTTTCCCCTCCTGTTCCCCCTGTTCCCCCTCCTCTTTCCCCTCCTCTTCCCCCTCCTATTTCCCCGCCATCACCCACCTCCTACACTAATGCTGTTCTCGACGATATTCAGGTGCCAACGAGGATGCTCAACTACCGGGCGAGTTTCTGGCTTTTCAGAATTCTAGTTCAGCAATGCTGATCCCCACCCCTTCTGCCCTCGATAATCAATGTTTTTCTGTTTTCTTGTGTTCATTCCCTAGTCATAGAACTTTTAAAATATAATTTCTTTTAAACAAAAGAGACAGAAATAATACAGGTTTGTACACTTTTTATGCCTCAATTTTAGATTCAGATTTTCTTTTAAAGATATGCTGAGGATACTGCTAGTCTAAATGTACATTTTTTTTCACCCTTGTCCTATTTCAATTTCAATTTTTCAATTTTTCAATTTTTTCGGTTTTATTACAAATATACCAAATAAAAAGTCCAAAGACTAACAATAATTGGCTTACAATGTATCATATAAAAATGCATTAAAAACAGTAGATTTAAAAATTCAGTAATAAGTTAAAGTACATTGCTCACATTGTATCATATAAAAATGCATTAAAAACAGTTGAATTAAAAATTCAGTAATAACTAAGTAACTTAGTATGAAGAAAAAAAGAAAGATTGTAAGTTATAAAATGGTGATAATCAGTTTGTCAGTGAATTGAGAAGAGAGAAGAAATAAAGAGTGAAAAGTGGAAGAGAGGGAGAGGGAAAGGATAACGAGAGAAAAAAAAGAGTTCAATTCATGACAAAAAAAGTAAGCAAATGAACGAGAATTGAGTTGATTCAGCTTAATGAAGCATTGTAAAAGTAAAATGCACATAATAAAGAAATGTCAAATGATACATTAATACGAATGCCATTGTGGAATTGATATTATACTGTTTAAAATTGGTGAATGTCAACGACCTATACATATTGGTGAACATTATTAATGAGTAATTATCACATTGTCAGAAATTGAGAAGAGGAAATACAAGACAGAAATAGAGAAACAGTGGGAGTGGGAGAGGGGAGGAGGGAAAGGAAAATGAGAGAGAAAGAAGAAATAAAGAGTGAAAAGTGGAAAAGAGGGAGAGGGAAAGGATAACAAGAAAAAAGAGAGTTCAATTCATGACAAAAAAAATGTAAGCAATTGAACGAGAATTGAGTTGATTCAACTTAATGAAGCATTGTAAAAGTAAAATGCACATAATACGGAAATGTCAAATGCTACATGAATAAGAATGCCATTATGGAATTGTTATTATACTATTTAAAAATGGTGAATGTCAATGACCTATACATATTGGTGAACATTATTAATGAGTAATTATAACATTGTAAGAAAATTGAGGAGAGGAAATACAAGACAGAAATAGAGAAACAGTGGGAGAGGGAAGGAGGGAAATGAGAAGGAGAAAGAAAGAGCTAGAGAAAGGGAGGAAGAGAGGAAGAGAGAGAGAGAGAGAGAGAGACAGAGAGATGGAGAGAGTTCGAAAATGACAATACATAAAACAGATCTAACAAGATTTCAGTTGATCGAATTTAGCAAACGAACAAGAGAGGGAACTGCCGATTGTTTGTAACGCTGGGTTCTGCAACGTGGAAGGGACAAATGATCGGAGTTTCTTAAACTGCGGCAAGTAGTCACATGGCGCGGTTGTGGCAGGAGATGGCGGTGTCTTTGAGAACCCAGAAGTGATTTCGCAAATCGCGTGAGGATCTCAACACGTCGACTATCAAGAGATGAAATGTCAAATTGGTGAAGAAGGTCATCATAGTGAGAGTCAGTCGGGTAACAAATCATGCGAAGAGCTCTCTTCTGTACTCGTTCAATTTCAGCAGACTGGCGCAGGGTTAAACTTGTTCCCCAAACAGGTACTGCATACTCTAGTATTGGTCGTATGTACACAGAGTATATGAACACGAGATCCTCTGGTTTGACACCAAACTTCTTGAGTTTACATAGAATGAAGAGGCGACGTGATGCATTTCCAACCATGCGTTTCACCTGCTCTTTCCATTTTAGATCATCCTGAACGATAACACCAAGAAGTTTAAAAGATGAGCAGGATTGCAAGGGTACATCACGAATGGACAAATGAACAGGGGGAGGAGCATGACGAAGAAAAGAGACTTGCAACACTTGACACTTTTCCGGTTTAGGAGCCATATCGTTGTCATCACACCAGCGACTTAAGGAATCGAGATTCGACTGCATTTCTGACGGCCGCGAGTGATGAACAACTTCCACAAGTGACAAATCATCGACATACTTCCAGTAGTCACAATTTTCAGCAGCATCGTTGATCATAACAAGGAATGTGATAGGGCCAAGTTTCGTCCCTTGTGGAACACCGCAAGAGAGCTGACGGGATTCAGACGATACACCCTTGAAGCGAACAGACTGCGTTCTCCGCGAAAGAAAACTGCAGATGGTTGGCAGAATGGACCTATCAACACCGAGATTGATCATTTTCTTGATGGCAATAGTGTGATTGATCTTGTCGAAAGCTTTACAAAAGTCGATGGCACAGACATTGGCGACAAAGCCTGGCCGGTCAAGGCCTTTGTGAATATGGTCAAGCATTCCAACAAGGTAGTGATCGACCGAAGAACCCTTCATGTTTCCAAATTGGTGAGAATCCACAAGGGGCTTAATGTCCTCCATTACCCAGTCAGCAAGAAATCCCTCGAAGAGGCGAGCCAGAATGGGTGTGATGGATATTGGTCGTAATTGGTCATATCCGGTAACACGACTGCCCTTTGGAATAGGACAGACAGAAGAATCTAAAAGTCATCAAAACAGACTCTTTTAGACCATTTGGAGACAGAAGTTGGAGGCTATCTATATGCCTTGAGTCTCCAAATGGTCTAAAAGAGTCTGTTTTGATGACTTTTAGTTTCTTTAAATTATTACCTGTCCTCGAACAGCCTTGAACACCAATGCTGATATTCATAAATGGAAACTCACATTAGCCCAGGCTAATATGTGATGAGATAGTCCACAGAGTTACAGAGCACCAATTGCCAAGCTCATAATTCCAAGAATATTACCATGTTTTTGTAAAGGACTGAACAGATAAGACTCTTATCAACCTAAAACAAGTTCTCATTCTCTTTTCTCTCTCTTCTCTCTTTCCTCTCTGTCTCTCTGTCTCTCTGTCTCTCTCTTTCTTTCTCTTACTCTCCCTTTTTTCACTATCTCTTACTCTCTCTTTTTTTTCACTATCTCTTACTTTCTCTTTCTCCCTGATTTCTGTCACTCTTGTCTGTCTCTTCTCTCTCTCTAATGTCTCTCTCTTCTCTCTTTCTCTTCTCTCTCTCCCTTCTCTCTCCCTCTCTTCTCTCTCCCTCTCTTCTCTCTCTCTCTCTTTTATCTCTGTATGTCTGTCTTACTCCCTCTCTCTCCCTTTCTATCTCCGTCTCCAGGGTCACATAGCAATAGCTCCATTCCACGCAGTAGGGTTCGCCGATTTCTGGCTGGCTGATCAGCTCAATAGTCTAACGTGTGTGCTTTTAGACATGGAGTTTCTTATATGTTACTACTCTTGCGAAGTCAGCTGGGTAAAAAATGGTCAATGTAAGTACTGAATTTTTAGTCTCATTCAGATATGATGTAGCAAACTGTGGCATCTTTATCATTTATGATGACTTAAGTGTAATACACGATTCACATTTTTGTATCATATGAAACAGAGCTAAGTGAATTTGCATAGGACCTTTCAATCATGAAAACAGGAAGATAATTTTCAAGGTATTTTTGTCAGATGTCTACCTTTTACTGTGCTACTATCATCAGTATTATATATTATTGTTTTGTATCACTTAAAGAATATATACTAAATTGAATGTTACAAGCCTTGGGCTTTTATTGCCAAACCTCTGCATGTTTCTCCATTACTGTACATGCATTATGATTGTATTTGCTTTCTTAAAATCTTCTGCTATCGTTTGTTTATTCTCATATTGATCATACCATGTAATGTGATGAACCATACATAAATAATTAAAAACAAATTAAAAAATAGATCAATAAATAACTATGTTAACTTTCATATAGGACACAAGGCATGTACATTTACTACTCTCACCCAGGTGTAGTAAATGGTACCTGGTAGGAGGAATTTATGCCTTGAATGCTGGGCTAAAGTCGGGATAATAGTGCCTTGAGCATCCCCATGGGGTGGGTATTTGTGCAATATAAATCTAGCTACAGTCAAACCTGCTTTAGCAATCACCTTTATAGAAAGATCACCTGTCTACAAAAACCATCTTTTTCATTTCCCTTGAATATTGTTTCTTATTGAAACCTGTACTAAAGGAACCTGTACATAAAGACCACCTTGCCTATAAAGATCACTTTCCATGTATCCCTTTAGTGGTCTTCATATACAGGTTTCACTGTATGAATATTTATCATAAGTAACTTTTGTAGCGGCACCTCAAGTTTATCTGTTTATATCATCTCTCTCATCTTCCAGGTAAATTATCCTGTTTATCCTCGTACTCCCACGCAATACGGGCGGTAGTGGCGTGCCTCCCCGCGTGGTTCCGGTTCGCGCAATGTTTACGGCGTTACCGTGACACCAAGAAAGCATTCCCTCACCTCGTGAACGCGGGGAAATATTCGACCACATTTTTCGTGGTCCTCTTCTCAGCATTAGTCCACATACGAAGAGGTGAGTAGTGAAAGGTAGTATTGTTTAATGGAGTTTCAAGTGCAGGGGATAATTAATACCAGCTCTACTATTAAACTTGACAAGAATTGGATAGGGATGTACGGGTGTGGGAATTGTTGGAAATCGTTGAAAATTAAATGTTTTAGGTGGGTGAATGTAAAAAAAGGTTTCCTTATGAGATTTTGAAGCTACCTTGTTTGAAATTTACTTTCATATAAACTGAAGAAAAAAAGACAATAAAAATTATAAATGATTAGGGAGAGCAAGATTGTCAAATATTGCTCTTTTTCTATTTTTTATAGAAAAGGTTTTTAAACACGCACTCCTGCAACATTTGCTCCAAGTCAATTTGCTACACTAACCAAATACCTACATTTTTATAACATTTCTATATAATGCCAGTTTTCAATGATATTTGCTTCAATATCTGTGATTATATTCCTACATGTTACAGATCAAGACCTACATGAGCATTTCTACCAGGATCCGTTGTACTGTTTATGGATCTTCAGTGCTTTCTGTAGCTCCTGCTACACCCTTACATGGGATATCAAAATGGATTGGGGGCTCCTGGAGAAGAAATCCTACAATAAATTACTCAGGGATGAAATCGTCTATCCGGAAAAGGTGAGGCAGGAATGGAAATGACCCAGGGGGGTGTTTCACAAAGATCCCAAGTTAAACTTATCTCTAAGTTGGACTCAACCATTATGGAAAGCCGTTAGCATCTATGAAAATATTTTGTAAAAGTTATTTTAAAAGGCTTAGAATGTTGATTCAATTCATTCATATTTTCTGTTATCAGGGAGATTTCATGTTCTTGATATATAAAAAGTCTAAAATACTTGAAATTTTGCTTTTGAATATATTTTATTTTAAGGCTACAAATGACTCACCATAATTTTAAAGTCCAACTTCGAGTTAATTTCCACTTAAAATCTTTGTGAAGCACCCCCCAGATCTCTTTCTTGAATGTGTAAGAAAATGTATGCCTGCATACATGCATGTTATGACTCACACACCCCACACACTACTCCCACATGGGTGCTCTTTTACTTAAGCTTCAGACAGCTTCAAAGCACATATGAATTCAGAAAATATTTTAGGATGACTAAAAATCAGCTCAAATATTTTCAATTGAGCCTTTTCATGAAACTGAGTAAAATGTTTGGTATGTGTATCATTAGAAATGACTTTGAATTTCTTTCTTCCTTGTACACAATGTTCAATTATACATGCCACATGAAAAAAGGGATGCAAGCATTTGAAAAGTAACCTCTTTTCACAGGTGGAGATAATGATAAAAGTTGGTTTAAGCACTGGACTTGAAATTCAAAGGTCGTTGGTTTGATCCTCAATAATCTACATTTGCCACTTCATACACAGGAGAGAAATGATTACCTAGTAGAATGACGATTCAAGCCTTTGTGTTAATAACTGCTATATGCCATCAGCGTGACTGTATGGTAGGAATACTCCACAGGGGGTAGAGATGGTGCACATTGCGCGTGAATGAATCCTTTGATGACCGGAGTAAAAATATCTGTAAAGCGCTAAGAGACGCTATTTTGTATTGAATGATATATATATCCAGATCACTATTATTATTTGGGGTAGGCTTTTATATAAGGAACTTCCCTCCTTTCTGCCTATCCCAAATGCTCTTATAAATTGCCATTGTATTTGTTATCACTTTCTTGTGTCTTTTTATATTTATAACTCCATTCTGTATTTGTGTGTTTTAAATGTTTTTATGAAGAGTATTGATTAAACTTTGAATTTGAATTTGAATATTATTGTTATCTCTGCAGGCATATTATTTTGCAATGGTGGAAGACTTGGTGCTACGCTTCATTTGGTCAGTCAACAACACGGTAGGACAGATGGACATTGGCCGCGGTCGTAACGGACTCATCATTTCTACCATCCTGTGTTTCTTAGAAGTTATAAGGTATTATTACAATGATTCCAATCATGATATATGTCATGTCACAAATTATCAAATTCTAGATGATGGTGTCATTACTTGTTGGTATGCAGTCATGAACATATCAAAATGTATCATTTCACTAATTCATATGTTGTCCGATTTGAGCTCTAATAGGGCTAACTTAATGCAAGTATAAGGGCCCTCTTGTCCTGTAACGTAAACAAAATCAAGGATCGGGGCTCTGAAACATAAAAATCAACCCACAATCAGACGTTAAAATATATTTTATCTCCGTTCCTGCTGAAATTTATTGTATCTTACCATGCATTGTATCCATCTGTAACATAAAGACTAATGGCAAGTTACTTTTAATTGTAAAGTTACGTTTGGGTGATGGAAATGTGAATAATTTGAATGAGATAAGATCAATTGTAATTTTTTCTGTTCCAGGGCCCAGGTTGAGGTATATTAAAATCTCTGATGTGGTCAGTAATGAATCTATATAGGACAAAAAAGCGTGGACTTGCCCATGTTGATTTTTATCATGGACAAACATGCATATGGGTCATTTATTGATCCAAGGGTAATAATCAAGTTATTGGTCTTTATCTTATGTGTGGTATATAGGAGATTTATATGGAACTTTTTCCGCTTAGAGGAGAACGGACTTGCCCATGTTTATTTGTATAATCAACATATACGGGATTCATTGATTCAACAGTCATTTTCCAGTTTTCTGGTCTTTATTTTTTATGTGATATATAGGAGATTTATATGGAACTTTTTCCGTTTGGAGAACGAACATCTTAACAACTGTGGTCAGTTCAGAGCGGTTCGGGATATCTCGATCAAACCTGCGAAGGAAGACGAGAATAACCCCATGAAGGTATGATGTACAAAAAGCCTGTTCAGAGTAGACTAGCTGAAATTTATACGGTTTCTATATACAACATACAGACTAGAAAGAAGTAATTACTGATCGTATAGGTTCAAGAAATTTTATTCATATTTTGTTGATTAAAATCCTAACAAATAGGATTATTCTCAATTTTTTATAACATTGGATAACAAATTTCAAAATTGTACATGAAGAATTTTTGTAGTCCGAATAGAGGGTAAACACAGCAGTTAGCCATGAGATTAAACTGGTGCCCCTCCCCCAAAACAGAAGTTTTATTACAGTAGTGAAGTTAGAAACACATCCATACAGAACAGAAATGGCTTGATTATTTTTGTTTCTATTCTTCATTTTGTTATCTGTTTTTATTAATTTTACTGTGTCCTTATCTTTTCCTTCCCTCTTTCATAATTATTTTCATCTACTTCATCCTATCTTCTACTATTTTTTTTCTCATCTGTGTTTTTCTCCTCGTCTTTTTCTTTATCATCCTGTGTTTTTAAACCTTGTTTCCCTTTTTTTTTTTTTTTAAAGGTAAAGACTAGTATTGGAAACGCCCCAATTTCAAAAAATGAAATGGAAGCTCTCATTACCAATCATGTGAAAGAATATGTTTTGACTAATACATGATGATAAAAAATTTGCCAGGAAACCGCCTACTAATTCATATATTTGGTAAATTTGTTTCTCTCATGGTCTGTGAGAGATATAGGTTAGTCCCATATACATCTTTCTGTGTATAGTGCTTGTAACTTTACGAAGAATGGCCCAAATTTCTTATCATTTTGATGATTCCAGAACCTTGCAGATGCTAGATGCTAGATGATCAACCTTTTCTGATCGATTCCACAACGTTTCTTTCACAATGCAATCGCATGACCATAACTGGTCTTTACCTTTAATCTTGTCTTTTCAAGGAATCATTGTTTTGATCTATCTTTATCTTTATCTTCCTCTTGTTTTCACCACTTGTTCCTATTCCTCTTCTAATCTACCTTTCTGTTTTAATCTGCTGTTTCTTGTTTAATTTTGTACCCCCTATTTCAATGTTTCATGAGGAATATATATGTATATGAACCAAGATAAAATATATTGATTTTTAAAAAATTTGTTTTGCTTCTAATGTTTCAGGTAGAGGAGATGATGGATAATGAAGAATTTGTGCCTCTATGCAAACACAAACCTCCAAACGAGGTTCGCAGAAGATTAAGTGTTAGAGAGTGAGTTTAAAAACCTTTTATAAATATACAAGAAATGTTACATTGTGTTTTTCAGAAAATTACTGTAGTATTTTAAAAATCGTTGGAAGGAATGTGTTAAAAATTTTAAGACAAAAATGCGAGGGCAAAATCAATAACCCATTATGAGAAATAGTTAGAAAGTAGCTCTACCCACTAGCCACTTTCAGACACCTGTAGAGATAACTAATTGGATTAAAATACTCTCATATCCATAACTAAAGAAAAGTAAATACAAGATTCTTGTTAGAATTTATTTTCTGTAATAACATATGGCTATATACCAACAAGAATACTGATTTTTTTTTAGTGCAGATGTGTCGGAATTAGTTACAATGTAGTAATGTACTACAACTGTATTTCACTGAAAGAGAAAACTGAGATTGAAATCTATGGTTAATTGAAATTTTTCTGTTGTTGCGCCCTCTAGCATCCCAATGGTGAACAATCACGCCTGTCTTTCAGTGCCACTCCTTTTAACCAGCCCCGAGCTCATTCCAAAGCGACCCTCGGTCGTTCGTTTCCAGGTGGGTGACAACGAGAGCGGGACGTCCAAGACGAGCATAGCCCAGGTCGGACTCTACGGAGAGGGCAGTCAAGATGATGATGATGATGATGAAAATAGCAGTGAGAACTCAAATGTTAGAGACATGCTTGTATGATTTGCACTGCTGAATCTGGGGTTTTATGACCAGTTTAAGGTGTTATGACAATCTCCTGTCAAAATATCAAGTTACCAATATTAATTTTTTTTAGTTGCAACACGATGTACACGTATGTCTTGATTCCTTTTCATGACAGCTTTTAAATAATCAGGCAGAAAAAAAGCAGCAGAATGTTCATTGAACATGTTTTTAATGGATTTTGTGCAATGTTTACTCTACGCAATAGGTTATTTGAGGATGTTCCTCAGGACTGTTCATGTTCACCTTAGCTGTTTATGCACATTGCTTGGAGTTTCTGGTATTGTGTGTAGTAAAAACATGACAAGCTGGCCCTGCTCAGCCAAGGTGCACACAAACATTCATGTCATTAGGGTTGAGGATTTGAAGACAACGTATTCAAATGTACATCCTCTTTGGAAGAACCTCAGATCAAAACCAACGACCTCTGTTGCAGGATGGGAGTTAGGCTTCAATATTGCAATCCCGTGTAGCATCCAAAGAGTTGGGATGACTCGGAAATGGTGTGTATCATCCAGTCATCATACTTCAAGGATGGTGTAACTTTCTCATAGTCGTTGACAAGTGCGCAAGACAATAAGTTATAAAGATTACAAAGTTTCAAAGATTCCTTCAAAGTGGTCTTGAGCTACAGATATGTGTAGCTGTTTTTATACTGAAAGTGCATTTATTACATTAGTTCTAGTAGCCAGAGCTGAGTGGCACATCTTATGTTTATGGTTTTTATTCTTGTACATCTGTAAATAGAATTTTCACCATGGTGCTCAAACTATAGAATAAGAAAAAGAAACTTATTGTTGTATACCCGCAATTTTGCAATGATCAGTGTCTGTGATTGTGAATGGGTATTTATATTTTTAATGTGTGATTTTTCTGTATTTTGTAAAGTTGTGTGTGATATCTCAAAGGCGAACTCTGTAGGCAGTTGTCTACAGATCCCATTGTAGTGTATGTGCCTGTCCATTCGAGATGCAATGATTGAAGAAACAGAACTGGAAAAAAAATAAAGAAAGAGGCAAACTAAATTCGTTGTCGTGTAACATCTATAGGAGTACCCAAGCTTGTTAATAACAGTGATCCCTGAACTTTTTTGTTTCCAAATGCCAAATTTCTCTGACTATTTGTAAGTTAGATGGAAAATATGAAGAAGGCTTTGAAATATCCTAATGCCTCAATTGGTGTTTCATGTCACTGTTTTTTAAATTTTACAAACAATCCTTTTCATTTGTATCTGAATTACATCTCTGCTTTGACAAACATCAAAGTGATTGGTTCTCAAAAGCCCTTCAAGTGAACCCAGAGTGAGTTTTAGTTGAATACTTATGGTAATATAATATTTTTTCCATAATTAACAGGACTCGATATTATGTAATACTGCAATGAACACAGTAATATTTTACGCAAAATAATATTTTCAAACTCTCATGTTTTGCTTTCATAATTTATGATAAGTGTCCGTCTAAACATTGGTTGAACCTTTTTATAAACAGACAAGCACTGGAACATTTACAATTGTTTGAATGACTACCTTACTGTACCTGGTATCTTCTGACTAGTTGAATTAGTATTTGTTCTTTGATTGTTGCATACAAAAAAAGAGAGTGACTTCTATGGAACACAACTCATTTTTATTTTCAGTGCAGCTTATTTGGTCTTGTGGCCAAGATTTATAACAATGAGACAGCTTCATTATCTATGTGCAAAGGGTGTTTGCAAGCCAGCTACCTCATATGAAAATGCTATTCTGGTTTGCATTATGTTTCTGCCTTTCCTTCATATTGTTATTATTTGCACTTTTAGAGAAAGTTGCCACTCTGTACCCGTGAGATGATTTGAGGTTTTAAAAATGTACATTTTTGCTGGATGATGTAGGTCATTAGCTGGTATTTCCAAAAGCACTGACTGTACAGACTTTAAAGATAAGGTTGAGTTCTGGGAAGAGGTAAAAATGATTTGTGAGTATAATCATTGTATTATGCATGTGTGGAAGAACATCAGATAAGAAATGTTCCCTGAAAAGCATGGCTCTTCAAATGCCTTAATATTCTAAATATGGCATGTAAGAACATACAAATTGGGATGTATTTGAATGCCACATGTTCGTGTAGTCCCCTATATATCTTTCTGTGTACACTGCTTGTAACTTTACTGAGACTGGGCCAAATTTCTTATCATTTGGATGATTCCAGAACCTTGCAGTACACACCAATACTTATATGCTAGATGATAAACTTTTCTGATTGATTCCATACCATTTCTTTCACAATGCAATTGCATGACCAGAACTCAACTTTATCTTCAACTCTTTATATGCCACACAAACATGTCTAATCTCCCTGTGCCACATTGTATTTGTCCTCCATGGGATAGATATACCAAAAGACTTTGAAATCGTTGAACCGTTACCAGTGCAAGACTAGTCTATAGGTCTACATGCATTAAAAGGGTTGTCACACAGCTAACCAAAATCGGAAATTGGCAAGTTTGTAAAGCCATTGTGTTACAGGAAGCAATCCTTCTGTTACATGGTATGGTGCCTGTTGTTTTGTGCCTAGTGGCATATGTGGCAATCTAACGACTTTACCAATGGTTACTGAAGGCAAATGAAAGAATGCAACGTTTTATAGTTTTTAAAATTTGAGTTGTACAGGTATTTTATTTCTCATACGAACAACAAACTTCAAACATTCCAGCACATGCCGTGCCAGCTTCAGAAAGGTACTGTGTAACATTGAAGAAAACAATTTCATAAATCGGCGATTTCATGCAAAGTTTCCAGTGCAACATGTTTCTTTTCCGTTTAAACAAAAAATGAAAATATACAAAATCTCTCTTGATAAATGTGTCAACATTGCCGAATGTTGATGATAACAAAAATTATCAATCAATGATCTTCTTAAAAGCCATTTCAATTATTAGATGAAATCAGACACTAGCTAAGAAAACTATTTACAGTAGCTGTTTCAAAAACGTTGAACAACTTCCCAGTTTCCATCAAGGGAATTAACCACATTCAAAGGATCCCTTCAAACAAATTTCTGCTCTTAGTCATATAATGTAATTTATTTATTCTGTGAGTCTATATAATTTACTTTTCTCTTCACATTCTGAGATTGTGTAAGCGTTATGGGATTTTTTGTTTTTAGAGCTCCTAAATAATCAACATTATTGTTATTACCATGGATAAAAGACATCTATTGCACTGGACATGTTGTACCGAATCGCATTATATAAGTATGGAGTTTAATGGGCATCAAGATACATGTAGCAACAGGTTGGAGTATTTCTCAAGAAACAAAATTTGATTTGGAGACGATTTCTATTTGTTTTGGGGGTTAAATGTATTGACATCTCAAATGAAATATACTTGTCACTTAAGATTACCTTAAAAAGTTAGCTTTATTTCAGTTTTTAATTCTCAAATAGATTACCCTAATGCCAAATGTCTAGCATGGGTGAAAAACTTCAACAATGTTACATAGTACCTTTGATATGATAATGCACACTAAACTTTGATATTTATTTCTGTTGGTTTATAATACACTTGTGCTTTCATCGAGTCTCACAGTATTTCTTTACGGTCAATATTGATTGTCAATGTACATGTACATAGATTTATAAATGTTCTGATTTGTGTTAGGAGCCAGAAGGCATTAACTCACATACTCTTTAATGAAGCCCTTATGTCTCTGAACAGACAACATACTACAAAGAAAGCAGCACAAGGTACACTTAAAATAAAGAAATGTGTGGGTTTTGTGAAAGTGAAGAATGAAAATCATAAACAGAATGTATACTAACTTCTGGAAGAATTTATGTTTTTTGTAGATAGCTGGTACATTATAAATATCTTTTTGTAAAAGATATAACTTGAGTTGGATTATGTGTGCTATTACCTTATTTTTTCGTGTATGGGAACAAGTTAAAGGAGTATTTAAGTTTACTTTTTTACCAAATCATTACAGACCTAATTTTTGTATAGTTTTCAATGATATAGTATGACATTGTGTTTAGTGATCGATCCAAACTGAAATTTGTGTAAACTGAACTGTCCCCCAAATGCACAGAAAATCAAATATGTTGAAATAGGGGTGAATTCTTTGTATCAATTGTGTCATATATTTACCTAAAGGAATAGTATTAATGAGTCTATTTCTGATATATTATAATCATTTTATATTTTACCTTAATTGAAAGTCAAATATAAGATTTGGGTGTATTTGTGATAAGTCTACTTATCATTAAATGCACTTGTTATCTACCCAAAAGTATAAAACGATCCCTGACTGTTATAAAGGTATACATGTATACCGTTTATGTTGTAACGAAATGTAGCTTATATGCAATGAGTTCTCTTTCCAAATTGTTTGTCTGAAACTTTAATGCGTTGTTTTTGTATTGGAAGATAATGGCATGATTTTTTATATACATGTGTAATCGTTAAAAGATATAGAGATACAAAATGCCTTCATTTACTTATTTTCAAGAATAAAAGAAATATTTTGAAGAAGTTTTTGTGTCTGTCTAAATTTGATCGGGTATTATGTTTCAGGATGCCAAATCTTTCCTTTTCTCCTTCTCTGTTTCTGTCTCTTTTCTCTCTTTATCTCTACCTCTATCTCTCCCTCCCCTCTTTATGTTTCTGTCTTTCTGTCACTTTAACTCTCCATCTCACATTATCTCTCTCTCTCTATATTCCTCTCTCCCTGTTGATTTCTTTTCGTAGCTGTTCTTCGCCCCTTCTTTTATACTCTGAATCTCTTCTTTTTTTGTTCCTTTTGAAATCTCTTTATCACAACACACACTAATGTTACTTGCCCACAGAAAGACAATAAAAAGCTTTATTCTATTGATTAACAGCAAATAAAGTTTAACCACTTAAGTAATGCATTCGTTCTCTACAACTGGTAGAACGCATGCTACAAGTGTATAGACGTCTACGAGTGTTATTGAATTATATACACAAGGAAACAAATCCTGTTTGAAAAAGGTGTGCATTTTTACTAGAAAGGTCGTTCTAATCGCAAAGACGGTAACACGTGCGATTGAAACCATACACAAAAGCAAATGCAGTTCGACAACTAAAAACTCGTGCGCTATGAGCCGTATGAGCCGCCTAGAAAAACCCATAAAACACGATGATTTAATGTCACTCAATATTTTATGTTCTATAACATTTCAATTTCAGCTAAAATCTTTTGCCCATCAATCCGTTATTCATATTTTTGCACATATTTTCTTTAACATGATTGTTCATGTTCTACATACATATCGTTTTTACTTACAATAGTTATATCAGGGGGTTGGAATGGACCTGGTTATATGTACAACTGAATGTCAATGAATCGTTTTGATGAATACAAGAATGCACACACAACATCATGATTTATATGTTTATCCATGGATTTATGGGTGGTTTTGCAGAGAGTCCATTTACAAAGTAATTGGGTCAAACCTCTTTACCCCTTTTCATTTCTACTGTTACCATCCAGCTTCATCCATTAAAATTAGCGAGAAAAAAAAAGAGAAAAGAAAAGAGAAGGAGCAGACGGCGCAAAATGATAACGTTTGACGAGAGCAATAACTATTCAGCATTATTTATATACACGTATATAATCATGAATTATGAGAACGTATTTTAATCGTTCAAAATGATGAGCGACAAAATCCATCTGCTTCGCATTCATACTCCCGTTTTGTCTTCCCCATCGCTTGCTGACGTCATCGGAGAAATCTTCTCGTGCTCGAGTTGGAGTGCTGCCAATTGTTGACGTTTCTATTAAAAAGAGTTTTTAAAGTTTATAAAGTTTTAAAGTTATAAAAAAGCGTCAGATTCATCATGTCAAGAATTATCTGAAATTAAATGATGTTCTCTCATTTCGAACTATAACATGTAACTCATTTTTATCCTTCATTTTACAAATATAGGCCTATTGAAACCGAATATTCTCGACCTTCTTAAAGTGAATCTGAATTTCATTAGGTGACTACATTCCGTTGATTTGATCTTTTGTAATCACGAGGAATGGATGTATGTTTTGCAGAAGAAGAAATACAATGATGGATAATACGACGTTTTACCCTATAACATGCCATTAAAAGAGCCCCTTTACCCCCTTGTATGGGGGGGGGGGGCAGGTGGTGGAACTTGTCGGAGAGTTTAGAAACATAAACGCCAAGGAGAATCAAAGAGCCTCTTTTCTTTGTACCTATCAGTTTATGTAATTTTTTAGGTGGTCTGTCATCGACAGACCACATATTGATTTCTTCTTTTTTAATTTCTTTATTTTTATTCTCCGCACTTTTTTGTGCAGAGGATAACTCAAAATCAGAACTGTCATTTTCTTTCAATTTTGACACAGTCATAGGTCATCATCAGAAGACGTGACAGGAATATTTTCAAGGTCATCAAATTGACGTGACGTCATCCAGATGCCATTTTGTAAAATTATCTGAAAATCAACTCATGATTATATCTTTATAACAAAAAGTGATTTCTCATTCATATTTACCATGATCAGGGTAAATATCCGTCCGTTTAATTTCAGGTCAATAAACGCGCGCAAATTTTCAAAATGCTCAACATCATTTTTGAATAAGAGTACGTTTCAGGCCATTTAAAGCATTTCGTAAAAAAACGTGCACACGCGAATGCGCATGCATTTTCGTTAGTGACGGCCGAACGCAAAATGTTTCCTCCTCTCTTTTTTCCGGATGATATTCCTCATTTTTTTTCCCAACAACTTGATACCATGTTTATCTTGTTATAAACGGAATGAGCGTCCGTTTAAAATGACCATACGCGCGAGCCCTTGTAATACACAGCATATATGGGCAAAAACATGCCTATACAAAATCCATTATAACTCTTTGGGATACACGGAGACCCCCAATTGTTTTTAATATATTGTATGAGTCGGAAATATGATTTTATGTTTCATTTGGCCTTTAATTATATCATGACATCTTCATAATGGCATTGGAACTCAAAATACGAATTTGCACATTATGATGTCAAGAAATTTATGGAAAATTGATTGTATCTCTGTAAATATTGATCAATTTACTTCCAAATTTTGATACGTTGTAGCTAAGACAATTTTATACAAGATCAACTCCATCATTTTCTATTTTAATTACGTCATCATGGTGAAAATTTCAATTAAAGGCGACATGTCAGAATTTTCTTAATTTTCGTGTTATGCCTACGGAAGGTGAATTTCGTTCACATCATGATGAGCGACAAAATCCATCTGCTTCGCATTCATACTCCCGTTTTGTCTTCCCCATCGCTTGCTGACGTCATCGGAGAAATCTTCTCGTGCTCGAGTTGGAGTGCTGCCAATTGTTGACGTTTCTATTAAAAAGAGTTTTTAAAGTTTATAAAGTTTTAAAGTTATAAAAAAGCGTCAGATTCATCATGTCAAGAATTATCTGAAATTAAATGATGTTCTCTCATTTCGAACTATAACATGTAACTCATTTTTATCCTTCATTTTACAAATATAGGCCTATTGAAACCGAATATTCTCGACCTTCTTAAAGTGAATCTGAATTTCATTAGGTGACTACATTCCGTTGATTTGATCTTTTGTAATCACGAGGAATGGATGTATGTTTTGCAGAAGAAGAAATACAATGATGGATAATACGACGTTTTACCCTATAACATGCCATTAAAAGAGCCCCTTTACCCCCTTGTATGGGGGGGGGGGGGCAGGTGGTGGAACTTGTCGGAGAGTTTAGAAACATAAACGCCAAGGAGAATCAAAGAGCCTCTTTTCTTTGTACCTATCAGTTTATGTAATTTTTTAGGTGGTCTGTCATCGACAGACCACATATTGATTTCTTCTTTTTTAATTTCTTTATTTTTATTCTCCGCACTTTTTTGTGCAGAGGATAACTCAAAATCAGAACTGTCATTTTCTTTCAATTTTGACACAGTCATAGGTCATCATCAGAAGACGTGACAGGAATATTTTCAAGGTCATCAAATTGACGTGACGTCATCCAGATGCCATTTTGTAAAATTATCTGAAAATCAACTCATGATTATATCTTTATAACAAAAAGTGATTTCTCATTCATATTTACCATGATCAGGGTAAATATCCGTCCGTTTAATTTCAGGTCAATAAACGCGCGCAAATTTTCAAAATGCTCAACATCATTTTTGAATAAGAGTACGTTTCAGGCCATTTAAAGCATTTCGTAAAAAAACGTGCACACGCGAATGCGCATGCATTTTCGTTAGTGACGGCCGAACGCAAAATGTTTCCTCCTCTCTTTTTTCCGGATGATATTCCTCATTTTTTTTCCCAACAACTTGATACCATGTTTATCTTGTTATAAACGGAATGAGCGTCCGTTTAAAATGACCATACGCGCGAGCCCTTGTAATACACAGCATATATGGGCAAAAACATGCCTATACAAAATCCATTATAACTCTTTGGGATACACGGAGACCCCCAATTGTTTTTAATATATTGTATGAGTCGGAAATATGATTTTATGTTTCATTTGGCCTTTAATTATATCATGACATCTTCATAATGGCATTGGAACTCAAAATACGAATTTGCACATTATGATGTCAAGAAATTTATGGAAAATTGATTGTATCTCTGTAAATATTGATCAATTTACTTCCAAATTTTGATACGTTGTAGCTAAGACAATTTTATACAAGATCAACTCCATCATTTTCTATTTTAATTACGTCATCATGGTGAAAATTTCAATTAAAGGCGACATGTCAGAATTTTCTTAATTTTCGTGTTATGCCTACGGAAGGTGAATTTCGTTCACATCATGAATCTACATGACATTGTTCTTTGAGCAGTATCTCGCTTATTTTTGCTCCATTTTCTCCCGAATTTTGATATATTATAGCCGAGACTATGGGCTATAGGGTACGTTCCTTTTGTTTTTAGATCTGATGTTGGGAACATGTCTAAATTTTCAATTTAAAGTTGAAATTGCGACTATGCCATGGCCGTTTTTCAGGTTTGCATGTAAAGTCTATATTTTGGTCCAATGTTTAAAGCACTTGCCTCCCATATTCAATCGACCCAGGATCGAAGGTTCGAATCCCGGTGGGTCAATTTTTGTAATTTATTTTTTTGGTTCGATTTTCCATATGATGCTATCACCTTCTCCGACACACATAACATATAAAATCACAAACAATGTAATAAAATGCCTAATTACCTAATTATAATGGCCTTGGAACTCAAAATACAAATTAGCATATTATGACGACAGCCTAGGCCTATTTGTGAAAAATTGGTTGTATCTCTGTAAATATTGATCGATTTTCTTCCAAATTTTGAAATGTTGTAACTGTGACAATTCTGAACAAGATCAGCGTCCACCAGATTTAATTACAGACCACCTAAATCGTCCCAATGACAAGGACGAATTAAATTTCTCTTTTTTTTTCTTTTCTTTTCTTGTCAGAGATTTTCCAGAATTATATCCTCCGTAAATTTGATAAAAACTTTATGTTGCTGTTGTTGCTTCTCGGTCATATTGAGACCTGTATCCCAGCCATCACCCAGTCATTTTCATTAATTTCACATGTCATAATGATACCCTCCCCTTTTCATCAATTACCTTTTTCAATTCCTCCATGAGTTTCTTTATCCCCTCGTCGGCAGAATGAAAATGAAACGCCTGATGCGATGACGTAGTCCCGGCAGATGACGTATCAGTTCTCGTCATTATGTGACTCATGCTCCGCATCATGTGACTCGAACCAGAGTCACGGTCGCCAAGGTTACAGCAACATAGAGGCCAAATCTTTGTTAAACGAACCAATATGTTATACTTTATAAGCCAAAGAAGTAGTGTGTTGCAAAAGGCGTGGGACCTAGGATTATCATGAGGGGGGAGGAGGAAGCTTGCTTCATATTCGATATGGGTTTTATTGATCCCTGGTAATTATACCGAGTATATAGTATAATATAATTTCACCAGAAGCGGCAGTTTTCGGCTCTGTTATAGAATGACGTCTGCAATTATTATAATATACCCGGAACAATCCTCTAAGAATAAGATCGTAATTTGTAGAACATAAAATACAAGGTATCTTTCGTTATGACATAAATATCTTCTTTTTATTAATTTTGTAGTTCAATATTTGTGTGGGAACTGTCTTTATCAACCTCCTTACCTTCGGTACAAAGACCAGACACAACATGGTGGTGTTAGCAAATAGAATCGCAGAGCTGAAGATGATGAAACGGAGATCGACTTGGTACATGAACACGCTAATCGTTGGGACAGCCACGGCCATCGTTACCGCCACCGTGTACACGGAGAAGGCGATGTATTTACCTGAAATGGACGATAACAAGTTAATGCCGATAATTCGGAAAATGACCGGAGTAACGATAAAATACCGATAATGTCAACATAACACGATAATACCGGTATAGCCGGCTGTGGCGATATAAAATGCCGACAATGCCCCAAAATCCGATATTGCCAATTATGTACAAAGTGACGAAATTGCAACGTTTTCACATATAGCTCCGTTTAGTCTCATTTGACAACGCCCCTATCGTCAGAGTCAGCAGCCTATTACATGTTAGCCTATGGACTTTTACTAAAAACAAATCGTTACAAATTCATTTTTTGTTTAAACGAAAAGCACATCCACCCGCAGGAACCCGCATGTCCCATTGACTTTTGAAAGTTCACCCACCGTAATTTCATCAATATTGTTCGCAAGCTCGCCATTGCCTATATAACACATGTATAACAAGTCGAACTTTGGACTCAATTTACCACGCGATTGTAAGATTATAGGTCAAGCACACGAACGATAAGAAGCATGAATTATCATAGATCAGTTCTGCTTGGTTCATTATGTCCACTTCAGCCACCCCCCCTTACCGTAATTGTTCCATTTAGTAAAAGCAAACATTTTGCCGAGGTAAGCAAAAACGTGAATATTCATGAACGGTCAGACAAAACAACCTTTTAGTACGTAAAGTATAGTGAGCCGTATCGCTCTTGGAAGTGTAAAATGGCCGCCGCGCATGCGAGCCCACTTCAAACGTTATCACGGGCGGGAATGGGCGATGATCCGTCCAGGAGGTAGAGGTCAGTGTTTTGTGCTGGCAATGTTCCAGCGAGCGACAATGAGACAACCAGGGCAATATGTCCGGGGTTGTCATACCCTTACCCGATGTGAGGAGAATGTAGCAGTTGATTAAATAAAACATTATAAAGAGGTCTTGTGTGTTCGAATGATGAACATGGCCGTTGCACACAGGGTATAGTTTTGATTTCGTCATATAGCTGCGCTAATCAAGCATATACGAAGAAGTTTGCGCATGCGTCTTTAATTCAACACATGTATTTTTCGTACGATGTTACACTGAACACGATAGCTACTAGTTTCGATATATAAACTCAAGAGCAATGCTAATACCGTATGATTGTAATAAGTGACGATCGAGCACAAGGTTATATAAATTGCCCTACGTTGATTTGTCGAAAGTAGTTGCGATCGTGTTACTCCCATCATAATTATGATGTGTCAAAGACTGCGCAATTCGCTGACGCAGTCATGCGCCGGACAAATAACGCCTCGTGTGCAAAATGCATAAATTAAGTACACTTACTGTCGTTCAAATCAGAGATGGTCACATCCCTAGTCTCCCAGGCCAGGAAGATGCCGAACATTAGAAGGATGCCTTTGATACCGTACATGATAATCTGAAAGAAGAGTTGATTTGTCGATCCGCACGTTCGAACAGTCGGTACAAAATACAACTCTTTGCTTGGATCAGTCATGTCCAGCTTTGATAAGGAGAACAAACAAAAAGAAGAAGATTTGGCTTGTTTGTTGTTAGTTCACACTAACTCTTGCAATATTACATCTTATCTGGAACACGTGATCGAACAGCTTACCTGAGCGTCTAGAGAGTGTGACGTCACATGTACGTCATCGAGCACCACTCGGAACATGAGAATAATTATGTCAGCGAGCACCAATGCGCAAACACCAAGTATGAGCTTAGAATCGGGTAAGTTCTGCAAGATAATTATAAAGAAAAAAATTGAAACAGTCATTGCCATGAATATAATTATATTAAATGACTAGGCGATATCATAATTACTTGTTAACACTCTCCTCCCTCGAGGCTGGGAGTAGAGACAATCACAAATAGAAAAACGCATGCACACACACACATACACGCACACACACAACACCCACCCACACCCACCCATATATACGTCCAGTGAATTCAAAATTAATTTGAAATTTAAGTCATAGGTTGGGAGTAGAAACAATCACACAAAGACAATCACACATAGAAAAACGCACACGCACACACACACACACACATACACACACACACATACACCCACACCCACACATATATACGTCTTGTGAATTCAAAACTAATTTTAAATATAAGTCATAGTGAAAAAGTGAACTCTCAACGATTTTTATTTCAATTGCTTTAATCATTATTTGTCTATTACCGTAACTGAGGATTATCAATAAATATAAATAAATAAATATATATAGATATATGTATATATATATATATTGAATGATCGTTTACTAGCAGGCCTTATATTAATTATTATTTCATCATTTTTAATTATTTGGCGTCACCTGTGCCTGGAAGGGGAAAATATAACTGAATCATTTTGATCCTACTTTTATCCTCTTTCTCCATTGATTTGTGAGCACGTGACTCTAAAAGCTCCGCCAGCGAAATTTAATTTCGTCGTAAGAAAAATCTTTGCGTTATTCTGTTGTTTGGAAGATTTTAGGAGAGCTTACAATCTTCTTGAGTCTTTCTACCGCTTTCTTGAAGATTGCATGGATGCGATACGTCTTACCGAAAAGAGCCCCCAACGACAGAGAAATGCCAACACTGATGAGGCAAGTTTGAACCTACAGAGATATTGAAACAGGAAGAATTTAGAATAAGATACAGAAGAAAAATCGAAAAGAAATGAAAATCCGCTATATTATTAATAAATATAAGGAAACAACCTCTCCAAGAGCTTGGCAACTCTTGTGGAGTACATAATACGAGTGTTGCCGAACTATCGTATTTGAAAGAGAAAAGAGGTCTGAGCGAGAGAAAGAGGTAGAGAGAGAGAGAGAGAGAGAAAGAGATAGAGAGAAGAAACGACGATAAAAGATGGAGAAAAAACCCTAACAGAAACCGATCCTGATGAATGGTAAATAGAAGATAGAATCATGATGGTGATGATGAGGATGATAATGATGGTGATGATGATGATGATGAGTTGATTAATGACGATGACGACGACGAGGATGCCGATGATGATGATGATGATGATGATCATGGTGATGACGATGAGTTGATTGATGATGACGACGACGACGAGGATGACGATAATGATAATGGTGGTGATGATGAATATAAAGGTGATAAATACGATTCCCGCCCCCCCCCCCACTCAGTGTTTTTTAGGGTACGCATATGCGTGTTTCAAGCGACCCCCCCCCCCCGCTTTCAGCAAAAGTCCGGTGTGTAAAGTCAATACGGGTCGACCTTTTTCTTTTGTTACGAGCCGGAGAGTTTAGGAACACGCATGGTATCCCTCCGTTCACGGAGTGGGGGGAGGGGGAGGGGGGGGGGGGGTGGTGCGGGATACGATGTAGTAGAAGAAGAATAATGAAGGCGAACAGAAGATTGCTATTAGGACATCAATACAGTTACAAAAGGTTTTCTTTAGTTTGAGAATATGATGGTGAGTGCATATACGTACGTGACAAAGAAGGACGATGGTTGGCTCACTGTAAGACGATGTGTTAAGCCCAGGAATGATGATAGCTGCGTAGAGCATCAGACAACCGATAACGATCAGGTTGTTTAGTATCGGACTTGATATCTTGATCGTTCTGATTGAAAATTGGATACCTCAGTCTCAGTTTATTATTTCATATTTCACATTTTCAGATTTAAAAGGGCGTTCACAAATTAATAATACGGATAAAAACCCATCGGCCCGAATTTACAAACCTCCTTTTGTTTCGCCAAACCTCCTTTTGTTCTTTACAAACCAGGTTTGTAAAAAACGCGTAAAAACGCGTCGACGTACGAAAACCAAGGTTTGTCGACAAACCTCCTTTGTGAATTCGGGCTAATATGTCTATTTGACAGAGATTGATTTATTGTGCAGGCAAAATACTGAAATAAATGTGAGTTATAGGCCCCAGCTTATTAATTTTATATTATACCGAAATTAAATTATTCTTGATAGTGGGCAGTAAATGATTAGTTGCAGAAGTTAGAAACAAGCTAAAGATAAATCAATGCTTTATGCTCAACAGGCGTACCTACGGAAGCTTAAGCATGCAGCGAGAAGACGGCTTGTTTATGTTAAGAAGGTGAGAAGGCGGCTTGTTTAACTCGTCAAAACTCGTCAAGGCATCTTGTTTAAGTCAAGAAGGCGAGAAGGTGGCTTGTTTAACTCTTCAAGGCGCAGTGTTTAATACGAGAAGACGAGTTGTCAAAACTCGTTAAGGCGTCTTGTTTAAGGCGCATTGGCGACTTTGGACAACACGCCTTCTAGCCTTCTAGGTTAAACCAGTCGCCTTCTCGCTGCACGTTAAAGCTTCCGCACACAAGGTAAGATTTCCTTTTAGCAAACCTGTACTCCCTGTAATGAACATTGAGTGAGAAGAAGATGAGGGATAAAACTATCCCCACACCAGACAGCGAGTAGAAGATAATCCGAACAGTCGAAGAAACTGTCTCATCAATCGGTTGGTATGTGATGCCATCAACAGGGCGCTTGCCATCTGCATAGATAATCAGTTATTATGGGTAAAGTACAACAATAATGAATTCAAATTTACACATTAGGATATTGTGATCCCCTATCTTATACATTCTTAATGTGGGGACAGCCTTTCTCCTTATCATCAACTTCTCTTTTGCAACATTCTATCTTTGTATATCGATTATCATAGTTTCATCTTCCTCTATAATTTTCTTCATCATAATTTTGTCCTTTATTTCCATCTCCCCCAGCCAAATTCATCTCTTGCTTCCTATCGTTCTTCCTATTTTCTTCTTCTTCTTCTCCTTCTCCTTCTTCTTCTTCTTTTATTCTCCTTTTTCGTCTCGTTTCTTTGCTGCTCTTGTTTCTTCTTCCTCTTCAAGTCTTCTTCTTCTCCGACCATTTTGTGATTTCTCAACATCACCCATCATATTTATCTCCATCTCCCCCAAACCGACTCCATCACGTGCTTCATGTCTTCTTCTTCTTCTTCTTCTCCTCCTCCTCCTTCTTCTTTTTCTTCTTCTTCTTCTTCTTCTTCTTCTTCTTCTTCTTCTTCTTCTTCTTCTTCTTTTTTCTTCTTCTTTTTCTCCTCCTCCTCCCCCTCCTCATTTTCCTCCTCCTCCTCATTCTCTTCCTCCTTCTTCTTCTTCTTTTTCTAAGTGATTAATTTCTACGTAATTTTTCCTTCTGGTTCGTTGTTTCTTCTTTATTATCCCGTTTGCTCCTTATTTCTGATAACTTCTCGTCTCCTTATAATCATCTTTATTCATTTCTCATTCCCACCCCCTTGACATTACCTGCCCATCTGATCGATCTATTCCTCTCCACATGGAATGATCCATCCTTGTCCGTATAATCCATGATTCTTAATGCAGTCGATCCTGTCAGGATATAAGAATAAAGCTGATGAAGATTTACAATTACAATGACAAACAACAATAATGATGATGATGATAATAATGATGATGATAATAATAATAATAAGAATAAGAATAATAATAATGATAATAATGATATAATGATAATAATAATAATAATAATAATAATAATAATAATAATAATAATAATAATAATAATAATAATAATAATAATTATTATTATTATATTAATAATAATAATAATAATAATAATAATAATAATAATAATAATGATAATATTAATACTAACAATAATAACAACAACAACTACATTGTACAACGATGACAATAATAATAGCAACAACAACAATGATAAGAAGAAGAAGAGGAGGAGGAGGAGGAAGAAGAAGAAGAAGAAGAAGAAGAAGAAGAAGAAGAAGAAGAAGAAGAAGAAGAAGAAGAAGAAAAAGAAGAAGAAGAAGAAGAAGAATAAGAAGAAGAAGAAAAAGAAGAAGAAGAAGAAGAAGAAAAAAAGAAGAAGAAGAAGAAGAAGAAGAAGAAAGAAGAAGAAGAAGAAAAAGAAGAAGAAGAAGAAGAAGAAGAAGAAGAAGAAGAAGAAAAAAGAAGAAGAAGAAGAAGAAGAAGAAGAAGAAGAAGAAGAAGAAAAGAAGAAGAAGAAGAAGAAGAAGAAGAAGAAGAAGAAGAAGAAGAAGAAGAAGAAGAAAAAGAAGAAGAAGAAGAAGAAGAAGAAAAAGAAGAAGAAGAAGAAAGAAGAAGAAGAAGAAGAAGAAGAAGAAAAAGAAGAAGAAGAAGAAGAACGGTAATGACAACAATCGTTAGCAAATATCAGAGACAGAATGAATGGCTAAATTACAAATTGAGTCAATGCAGTTATCCCAGTTCTTTAAACAAATTTGAAAGGTAAGATATTAAGAAAGAAATGTCAGAAAAGGTAATTAAAACGTCAACGATTGGATTGTGGCTTACCAATAAACTGCTCGACATATACAGGTGAGTTCCTGATGCCCTCTACCCCGAACTCTACCTTGTCCTGGTAAATAAACCAAACAGATCAGGGATATTATTTACAATTGTAATTACGTATCTGTGTTTTTACACCAGGCACACATATCGGTTATTTTATGAATACATATGTACTTTCATTATTTGAAATAATATTGTAATATAAAATTAATTTGATGATGAATAATAGAATGAGAAACATTGCTTTAATAATTGATATGAAAATGTTTATGAAACAATGACATGTCGATAGAAAACATGTTGGTGATACAGATCATGACAAAACCAAAAAAGCCCCTTTTGATAGCAACTGTTCGTATCAAATTCGTCCAAAGTATTTAAAAAAAGATCAAGTTACTAATAAAACAAAATTCGATAAAAAACAAAGCTGACCTCAAGCCTGAAAAAAAAAAAAAACGAAGACATTGGTCATACACTTGATAAAGGCCAATCTAGCTTGATTCAGGAATTTATATTATCACCGTTAGGCCAACGAACGATATTTCCCCCGCATGCTTTAAGAAGACTTCCGCCATATCTGTGTCACCGTAGGTAAAATCCTCCAGTCTTTTGGGTCTCGCTGTATCTCCATCGCTGTAACCAGGCAGTTGTTCCACATCAGCTATAGATGAGTTTAGTATAAGCGCCATGGTGATGAGGTTGTCATAGGCATAGATGTCACGTGAATTGTCGTCCATCTCATGCAGTGCGCGTAAGTATTCCAGGTGATGAGGTTGCGGTTTCTAATTTTAAAAACGTGTTAAAACATATAATTAGTGCTATGAATTATTTAGAAATACAAATGCAACATTTTATTCTATAACTTTCTGTTTTATTGGTGTGTGATGAGATTCCCTCCTCGTTTTTGCCTTCTTTTATTGTTCTCCACCGCCCTTTAATACCGCCAACCTTTTCTCCTTTCCTTCTTTTCTTTCATAACCATTATAAACTACATCATTGGTGTTCTGTCAATCGTCTTAAATTTTATTTTGATACTCTTGCCATCTTTCGCTGTAACTCTTCTTCTTATTATTATCTTTACCTTTCCCCTCTTCAAATCGTTTTCTCTTTAAAAAAAGGGCATAATTTCCTTGTTATACTCCATTTTGGAATGTATTTTCCCTCTTTCACCTTCTCACCCCCACCCTTTTAATAATTCTGACTTACGACGCCATTAAAGCTGATCTCCTCGACATCGGACACAAACTGATCTCCATCAAAACCAATGTGATATTGCAACACCATTTCCATCTCCTCGGAAGTACATGGAACCACTTCCGGGTCGGGATTTCTCCACCATCCCTCCGGAAACCATCCGGGTATGATCCAGATGAACTTTGACCCGTATAGACCTTGCCGAAATATCTGCATGGGTGTCACGAGTTTAGATTTAGTACACTTTTATTTAAACAAAGGTCGCTGATAATTGTGTAGATGACTTTATTTTGATTTTATTTCTGCATTTTTCCAAATATAATATAACTGAATAACAAAGAAGATATAAATGTCAGGTATAATACAACATAATTATACAAACAATGTTTTTTTTTTAACAATAACGAAACTTAATAATTAACATGACATATTATCATAAATTTAAAGTATTATCCGAACTATCTGTTGGAAAAGTGCAGGAGACCGCAATCATAAGCGATGCTTGACAAGGATGGCGGTCTAAAAAAAAAATCTTAAGGTAAAACTTAACAGTGTTGTGAAATCTGTGGTCTAATAATCTTTAGAGGTAGGGCCTTTACGTTCTAAACGAACATTGCAACATATTTCAGTTCGTTTTATTCCTTTTATTATTCCTATATTTATCATTTAATCTTTACCTGCCACTGAAACGGAACTTCTTACTCGCATATCATTTCAGAAGAATAGCGACGAATACAGACATAAACAAAGTAAATCGCACAACTAAACACATAGATTTCTAGTGAAATTATTAGTACACGTATATACTTTTCTCGCGTTTAGTTCACTGTGCAGGGTGTTGATATATAATATCAATCATGGAAAACTTCATACCGGTCTTAATGAAGAATTTCGAAAGTTTAATAGATACCTTGCAGAAAACAATGAGAGCCTGATCGGGTAGAAATCCAGCGAATATAACTCGAGCATCGTGTCGCTGTCAAAAGAAAACATCCATAAAATAAATAAGATTTTATCAGAACGTGATGGGTACTGGACTACATGAATGACCACCCAACCCCGACAACACCCGGGCGAATTAGTAAGCCAAATGATAACCATTATAATAATATTTCGTATCTCTAATCCAAAACACATATCACATTATGATACCAAAGCGCCTATGGAAGTTAATTCGGGGCTGTAGTCTTGGCAGCTACCATCGGTGCACAGTGCATCTCAAGGAATAATCCTTTAAGGTATCCATTTACTACACCTGGGTTGAGGGTGGCAGAAGCAGATTGATGCCTTGCCAAAGGATGTTACTGCCATGCCTTTGCCTAACTCCAGGTAAGTGTTAACCACTTGATTACAGCACTCGTATAATAGGAATAATAGTATAGGGTTATTGGGGATCACTATACACTAAAGGGAGACTACCATTTTTGGAGGACAAATAATGTCCTTCGTTATAGAGATAAGTTTCGCATAAGTAAATACGCCTGACCTTAGACTCGTGCTAATCCCTGTGGAGCTACATTAAACAAACGTACTGAAGAATTTCAAAAGTAAAAAAAGAAAAGAAAAGTAATTACACGATCGCAAAAACAGAGTTTAAAAAATCGAGTTGAGAGAAATGTCAAAGGTAATGTTCAAGGTAGCTGACATCGCCTGAAATTAATTATCATTCGAAAGAGTTTGTGATCGTGTAAATGCTACTAAATCTTAGAATCCTGACAGCTGTTACCCACCCACCACCACCATTCATTTTGTGTTACTATGAGATCGACACGTACCTTTAGACTTTCTAGCTGAGCTTCTGCACTGTTGATATCGCTCACGGCTTCAGTAGCGAGAACAGTGACGTCGACTTGACGAAGTAGTAGCGTCAGCTGCTTCGTGTTCTATGACCACCATAAAAAAATAACGCAAACATAATGCAAACGGGACATGTCCAAACACTATCACGACATTGGGGTTCTAGTGATATTTTCATGAACTTAATGTTAAAAAATTAAAAATTATATTTATTTTTTATTTATTTATCTATTTATTTCTAATCTTTCGCTAAAGGTTATATATACATAATATACAAATAAATACAAATAATGCAGACGGGACATGTTCGAACACTTTTATGACATTGGGATTCTAGTGATATTTTCATGAACGTAATGTTCAAATGATAAAATACTATCATTCTCTAAATTATGCATGTATAAAACATAAACAGGTTACTCTCCTCTTCTCCATGTAATAATAATAATAGTAATAATAATACTCAGCTTTTATAATTATAGCGCGAATTACAATTAAGTCTCTAAGCGCTTCCAAACTCGGAGATTATTACCCCGGCTTTATCTGTGCTGCCATTACGGCACTCTAGCATTTCAAGGAATTAATTCCTGCCAGGTACCCATTTACATCACCTGGGTAAAGTGTGGCAGATGTAGATTAATGACGTGCCAAAAGACATGCATTGGCTTACCTCTCTGAAGTAGTCTGTGTCCTCGAAGATGATGGCTACTCGACTCCACCCCATCTCCTTAATAAAAGCTGCTCTTGACGGGTTGAGGACGTCTTCATCGACGGAGATCCTGACGGTGAGGGGGTAACGGATGCGATCATTCAGGGTGCTCGAGCTTGCAATCACCACCTAGATAAGGTGCCAACATGAACAATGTATCTAAAAAAAAACTTCAATAAATTCCCACTCGTTCGGCGTTAAGGCCCTTTTACACTTTCACGGATCGCATCACGGACCATCCCGGATCATAATCCGGGGTGTTCCGGCGTGTGACACCACGATTTCTTCTCGATGCCGGTGTGGATACGTTCCGAACTGGGTGTATACACGGGCAAGTACGGTGTCTCCACGGACAAACAAGGTAGCAACGCGGACCACGCCGGAAACGCATACGGAGCTAACACGGATTTCAAGGAAGAGCACGGAGGCTACTGGGTACTTTTACGGTCCTTACACGGAGGTGTACGTTGTCTATTGGGATATCTCCGGAATGTTGACGGGTAACTTGAGCTTGTAGGCGCTCATTTGATCATTTACCTTCTCGGGCAACAACATGTCTTCAGAGTCAAGTATGGCAAAATATACGGAATTTCAAACCCGGATGAAACCGGTGTTAATACGGACCTCCCGGTGTCTACACGGACTGTCCCGGATGTATTCGGCGGCTACACGGAGGTACACGGTGCCTACAGGGAAGAGGACGGATTGTTTTCATCCGTGAACTCCGGGATAAAAATTAGTTAATTCAGTTAATTCACTAGATTCGATTACATTATAATCACAAGTGATTAAATGACCAGGGTGTGTTTCACAAAAAACTAAGATCGACTTTAATTTGGAATTAACTATCGCAGGCCATTCATGCCACTGGTTGTTCTCACTATTATGATTTTTAGATAATATTTTTCCCTTCAATAATGAAGTATCAAAAAATGTAAATTCTGCAGTTTTTGCGATCATGATTTGTAAGTCCCTTGAGAGACCAATACGAGTAAATGGTGAGAGCAAACAAGGCATGAACGGCCTGCCAACTTAAAATCGATCTTAGTGTTTGTGGAACACTCCCCTGATGTCGTTAAATTTTTAGCTTGAACGGGAAATGTGACAGTGAGAGCTCGAAAAGATGATACTTTAGGATTAAAACAAATTAAAAAATTGTGACAGGAAAGGGTGCAGGATGAAAAGGCATGGGGTGTCACACTCCCATTTCGATTTTCCGACGGCAAATCAGCAAAATTAAACAATATGTATCATAATTATGGTGACTTTAAAAACACTTCAAGTATTGTGCTTTTTTATATAGATTTTCCCTTTACATATTTCCTTTTCTATACTTTTATTTACAAAAAAAAAATTAGGGGGTGGTTTCTTTCTGTTTTTCCCCTTTGTCGTTTTGTCTGTTGGTATGGTTGTTTGCTTAGTTTCTTATTTGTCTACTTCCTTGTTGGAATCGTGTCAAATAACTTGACTGCATAATTATGAAGCCATCCTTTCTCCCTCCCCCAATAGAAATTAGGTTGAGCGATGCACCTCCAGGCTGGCAAGTGTATGCAATCCATCAAAGGCGACGAGACGACAAGTGAACAAAACAAAAAAATATTTTCGGCTCTATATTACCTGAACGATGTTGTACTCCGGAGTGATTTCGTTGACCACGGTAGCTACGGAAGAGAACATCGGTCCCCACGTCATCAAAACAGGCGGACCAGTGGATACGAAGTCGTGTAGAAGACGGAGCGCGTTGGCCGGACTTCCCTTTTAACCATAACAAAAGCATAACAGATTCTACACAAAGCTGCGTCATTGTAAAGTTTAGACTATAATATTAGTTGTTTACTGTATTCATCGAGGAAAGAAAGAGATATACTTGGCATGGTTGTATCATGTACTAAAGTCGAATTGAATATTGTATTGCCCAAATATTTGCTTCTTTATTCTTGAAACTATTAAACCTGATTATGTTAAACCTTTATTCATATGATCAACTGTTACACATTCAAAACGAACCTTTATCTATGACAACGAATCATTGCCTTACCATAGTCCAATTCCAGCGCATGCGTAGTTCGTAATCATCGAGGATCCCTGGTAACTCATTCACGTGGTCAATGGCCGTTTGGACTGTTCTGGGTAAACTCTCGAAGGCCGAATGGCCCTCGATCGGAAAGAAACCACCAACATAGATCGGGATTTTCGAGATGGTCATTGACTCCGTTGACGCACTGGACGTCGACGTCGACGTTGGTACTGAGGTCGAAGTTGATACCGAGGGCAATGCCAAGATGAGTGAGGATGTCAAGAGGCAAGCAAGGAGAGGGATGAGGGGTCCTAATATTTTTGGAGTCCGCATCTTGGACATGAACATTCACTGTAATTGGGTCTTTTGAGAAAGAAAAAAAGATTCCGGTCAAGGATTTTTTTTTAATTCATAAAAAGTAAGAGATTTAAAGAGGAAAGAGACATCTCATGATAATGTACAAACAAAATCACAAGAATACTAATGTTATACGTGACCTCAGATGAGATGTTTAACTGCAGCGAGTCATTAAATGGGAAGCCCACCCTGATTTTAAGTTGGTGTTAATAGAAGCAGGAAAATGGGAGAAAGAGGTCAGTCAACGTTTGAGCAAAAAACGATTAAAAATAAGAAAGTTATAATTTGTTGAATGTGGAATCACTCAAACAAAAATTTGCATCTTTGTGACGTATCTTGTGAACTCCCCTCCCATTTGCCCTGTACTGGAAAGAACATTTCCAATCATACATTACAAATATTTTTCATTTTGTATGACACAAATTTATCCCGTTTTCAATAACATTGAAAATTAAAGTTTACAACATTTTATGTACAGAGCAAATTGGAGAGGAGCTCGCGTGATATGTCGCAGTGTTGCCAATTTATGTTTCACAAATGACAATTTAAAAAATTAATAACTTCCTATTTCAATTTTTTTACTCAAGCTTTGACTAATCTATTTCTCCCATATTTTTGCTTTTATTAAAACCAATTTAATATCAGGTTTGACTGCCCCTTTAAATAACTACAGGCTCTTTATATCTAATGATATTTCTGGAGAAGACATCGCCGTTATATAATTTCAAGTCGCAAGCATCCTTGCCATCCTGAATTCTCATTTTTTTCTTCTATTCATTCTTTGCTTCTCCTTTCTTCTGTTTCTCCCTAGACACCTTTTTAATAGCATGCCTTTCATAATAATGGGGCCTAATTGAGATGTTGTTCAGTATAGATGGTAAAAGCAACTCTAGACCACTATGACAAAACCAATGCAGACGACAATTATCAAACTAGATAATGTTTCCGGGCCATAAAACTACTATACTTGAAGCAAGAAAGTGTGATATGATTTTGCAAGGACAGGGCGTACTTAATTTCACTACCTTCTTCGAGCTTTAGAAATTTTAGAAAGAAGACGTTAACATGTGACAGGAGAAGAAAATTGTTCCATTAATGTTTTCTTTCATGTTAGATGTCATAAGAGTTTCTCATGATCGGAATATTTTAGACAATTGAGGCTATTTTTACTTCAATGACACCTTATATGCCAAAATATGGCAAATTGATCAATAGAGTAGAATATTTTTTTTTTCTTCTAAAAGTGCTCCGTTATGCCTGGATTACATTTGCCCCGGGCGCCGTACGATAAATTAGTCTACGATTTTTTGTAGACATCGTAGGAGGCTACGGGGTACGATGTTTGTGTTAACATTATCTACGTGCATCGTGCCATATATTGTGTTGGCCCTCGGGGGCTGGCCAGGGCAAATCTGTACAGAGGCTGCTCGGAGATTGTACGGAAATCATGCAGCTTCCGTGCAAAGATGACAACTCAATATCACGGATACTGCACGGGCAGCGAGCAGCAACCTTGCGATAGCTGTGCAAGGGCCGTGCGAATGCCCCACGAGTCTACAATCTCTGTACGATTTTTTTTTGCCCCCATGTTCACCGAAAAATCGTACGTTTGCTGCACAATCAGTGCGAGGCCTCCGGGCGATGCCCGTGCGGGGATTGTGCAATGCCACCTACGACATGTATACGGGCTACGGGCTTACGATTTTTTTCAAATTTGTTTAACTTCTCGCGAAACAAAATCGTAAGGGCTGCGGAGCCCGTGAATCCGTACGAAAATCTCACGGTCGCCTCCTGCCTCCGCACAGAGGCCGCACGGAAAAGGGGATACGGGCAGGATACAGGCTCCGTAGACTAATCGCAGGCCAAATTTAATCCAGGCATTAGTAACGAATATTTAAGACGAAATAAAAATACGAATGTTGGTTATCAGAACTTGAACTGAAAACTACTTTATTTTCATAAAAAAAGTTTCAACTGTTGGAAAAGTTGGAAAGAACTTAAAAACTAATTTTCAAATTAATGATCCGGCGCACACTCCTGGTGGTTTTATACTTCATGATCAAAGGTGTAACACATGGTCGTTAGCGGATACAATTCATGTTCAAGACCATTTCCCACAGAATATGACCCCCTTTTGCGTAAAAGCAGGTACAAACTGGGCTCTAAATACAAGGGCGTTAAAGATAAAGGTGAGTTCTGGTAATGCGATTACATTGTGAAAGAAAAGGTGTGGAATGAATCAGAAACAGTTGATCATGTAGCATGTAAGTATTGGTGTGCACTGCAAGGTTATGGAGTCATCAAAATCATAATAAATTTGACCCAGTCTTGGTAAAGTAACAAGCACTGTACACAGAAAGATGCAAATGGGACTACACAAATGGTGTCGGGGCTAGTACTACCTTGATTTCCTTATCTTTCTATGCTCATTTCTCAGCCAGTACACATTTTCTTCCAAAATTGTTTGGCACATGTCATTTATTTGTAATTTTGAACATTCAGTGTAAGTTTCGTTTGATGCTGTGAGAATTAATTTTTTTTAATTTTTTTTACCAGAACTCAAGTTTATCTTTAAACTCTGTGTTAATGCCGTTCTTGCTAAGATAAAAAGCGCGTACTGTACGTCACTGATAAGAAGCAAAAACTTGCATCTGTCACTTATAGTTTGGGTACCATCAATTTAAGCCGAAAAATCTAGAACGTTTTTAAAGCGGATATCAGTTTTGAATAGAAACCTAGACTTATAAAGAGATGAATGGGCATTCTGAGTGCAATTCGGGCGACAAATTCCAGAGCTATGCATTTCAAGAGACAAAGTCAATAGATTCATAGCATTAGAAATGTTATCCGGAAAATTGGCCTTGACCGTATTCAATGGCCTTTTAGCCGCTGTTAGCTAATGTCTAAAAAGTTCAAGGTAGTAAAAGAGTAAAAACATACCTCTACAATTCCTGATCTATAATAAAAAAATAATAACAAGGACAAATTGCACAAAACAGTAAAAGAATATATAGAATAATGTTGTGTTTTTAACACTAAAAAATGGTTTCCGAGGCACACTTGTTAAGAACTGGAAGGACTCTCTGTTTAATATATGATGTAACGCTATTCTGGCTCTCAAAAAAAATGCGTAATGTAGGTCACAGACAGGAAGCAATAAAAGCAACTTTCACTTAGATTCGAGTAATCTGCCATTAATAATTAAATGTAAATATTTCAAGAGTCAATACATTTCTTTTCAACTATAGCTCGAAAACTCGAGCGCGTTTTCAAAGCGGATATCAGTTTTGAATGGAATAGTCTTGACTCGTAAAGAGATGAATGGCTATTCTGAGTGCAATACGTACGGTAAATTCCAGAGCTATACAATTCATGAGACAAAGTCAGTTCATTCACAGCATTTGAAATGTTATCTGGAAATGTTGCCTTTCAGCATTCATCGCCATCGGCATTTTAGCCGTTGTTAGCTAATGTATGAAAAGTATAACGAGGGGTTAATAGTATCGCGTCTTATACAATAAAGATAGTTTCCAAGGCACACCTAAAAGCGCCTAGAGATGATGGTAACTAGAAATAAAAACGCACGTAAAGTAGGAGCATTAACATAAGGAAAAGGAAAGGAAAGTTGAAATGGTAGACAAAGAGGGAAAGTTTGTTGAATAAGTAACGGAAAATCGGGAGGAGAGAGGTAGAAAAAGACGGGAGAGTTGATAATGTAACGAAAGAGAAAGTGGATCGAATAAGTGCGGGAGAAAGCTAGAGAGAGAGAGAGACGAAGAGAGAAAAGGGAAGAGGAGGGTACATCACACTATATAAATAGTGAGAGAAAAGAAGACAAGATTTAAGTAGAAAATGGCTCGAACATAACAATCAAGAGATGGTGTCCCTCAGGGATCATATTTCCCCTTCTCCCCATTCACTTTGTAGTTGACATTTATTGATCAACTGGCCTTTCTTTAAACCATATAATGTACGCAGAAAATGGGAATATATTGTTTTCTTGTATTGCCGAACAGTTATTTTTAACTCTAATGAAATGTTATTACTCTTCAAAATATAAACATTTTAGCTGAAAACAATTAATTGAATTACAATGCTTTACACGCAGAGTGAGATGTATTACTTTACAGGTGAATGTGTGGAAAATCTTATAATATTGAAATATAGTCAAATCAATTCAAATAATGTTAATTCCATAACTCAATGAAAAATGCTAACATGAAATTAATATCAAATAACATTTGCAATAAAACATAGAAAATGAAACTAAATTGTAATTACAATATAATGCACGTCTATAAGTAATCAAAGCAATTAACGGTTCATTTGATAGTTTTCAGCATAATTTAATCATTAATCAATTTTAAGTCTAATTTTAAAGGAAAAAAGAAACCCACTAAAGACCAGGGGGGTGTTTCACAAAGATCCTAAGTTGAACTTATCTCTAAGTTGGACTTAAAATTTATGGGAAGCCATTAGCATCCTTGAAAACATTTTGTAATTTTTTTTTTAGAAGGCATAAAATGTTGATTCAAATCATTCATATTTTCTATTATCATGGGAGATTTCATGTTCTTGATGTGGAATTGATGAAAAGTCTAAAATACTCCAATTTTTGCTTTTGAATATATTTCATTTTAAGGCTCCAATGGCTGTCCATACTTTTTAAGTCCAACTTAGTGTTAAGTTCTACTTAGGATCTTTGTGAAACACTCCCCAGAGCTTGTATTTTGTAGATTATTCAAAGAAAACACAAAATGAAAGAAAGAATGAAAAAGGAGATCACAAAAATACACACTTGCACTGCTCAGAGGTATGACCGTTCATGGGCATACGAAAAACACAGTATAACAGTGCATGGTGTGGGGATAGAGGATTATACCCCAACACCCTCGAGCGGTCGAAGATTCAATATAATTATATCAGTTCCGAAGTTGCTTACTTTCATAGGCGATACATAGAAAACTGAACACGAT